CTTCCTGGGGGCTTGACTCAGGGTCTTCTGAGTCAGTCATTGAAGAGATCCGGATCATACGAGTCATTTGAGTCATATGAGTCAGCATCACCAAGACCGTAGAAATCCTATCGGTGAAACCGAAAACTTGTTGCATTTCACGAGCATATTAAACTGACGTTATATTAACCTCCGCTACACAGTGTCTTTTGCTTTAATAAAACATGTTGATCACAAAAAAAAGGGCGATTTTGCGAATCTCAGTCTGCTGTTGACTCCTGCATGACGACGAGTCTGCTGGATCTCTGGATCTGCTGCTATACGGTTACGGCTCTGAGTCCGCACGAGTCTGCTGTGTTTTGCACAGTGAGTCAGGATTTGCGAATCTCTGAGTCTGCTGTTGACTCGTGCATAATATAGCCGCGGGAGCTGGAGGAGGGGCTGCAACATGTTACTCTCTCCCCACTGGGCTGATGCTAATGCTAATAATGCTAATGCCAGCAAATACAATGGCGGCTTCAAAAAACTTTTCAGAGTTTTACGGGGCGTGGTTTGCAATTCGCCCAGCCAATAGAAATTGGTACTTTTTTCTCCCCAGGATGGTACCACCTCTCTAGCAGGCACTAAAAATGGGGGTAAAAGTTCCCGGCACTAAGTACTCTTTTTGGTGTGAACGCAAAATAAGGGGTACTAACGGAACTAAACGAGAAAAGTACGGGGAAAAGTATTCGGTGTGAACGCGCCTATTTTATTTTTTTGTATCAGAGCTGTTTTATTTTCTTCTTTCCTCTCTGATCAATCATCTCACAACCATTCAGATGTATTCATAGTTTTCCATTAATGTGTCATTATGTCCCCGAATCATCTTAAATCAATGCCAAGTACTTTTGCTGCATTTATTTTATTAAAGGTACTCCACAGCGATAAAGAGAAATATTATCTATATTTTAAATCCACTACATTATTTATTTTTTTCAAAATAATTGTATTCACATGAAAAATAAAAAGTGTAACAGTGCATTACAGTAATTAAGGCATTTTCATGTTTCCCCCCCAAAATAACCCTTACTCACTTTCCCTTAACCCCGCCCCGTCCCAACCACCCCTCTCCCGGAGCACTGAGGCAACAGTACATCAATACAATACAAAATGATAGATATACATAATAATATACATGCACATACCTGCATACATACATACATGTACACATACTAACACATATCCAGGGATGTCTCACGGGCTGCATGTGTGGCGGACAGGGGAGTAATCATATCGGAATTATAGACAGATGAAGGGAGAATCCCTACAGCGACACCATATCAGGGGGAAGACGGTCTACATAGCTGATCAGTGGCCTCCAATGAGCGTAAAACTTATCTGAGGAATCCCGGAGAGCAAACTTAATTTTTTCCAACTTTAGAAGAGACATAGTATCACTCAGCCACATTTTAAAAGAGGGAGGTAAAGGAGATTTCCACAAAAGAAGGATTTTCCTACGAGCAATCAAGGAGGTAAAGGCCATGACATTGGTTTGAGTGTTTGTAATGTTGATTTAATCTGGGGGCCTACCGAAAATAGCTACATGAGGGGATGGAGACATTTTTAGACCTACAATTTCAGAAATACATTTGAAGAAAGATTGCCAGAAGCTAGATAATTTAGGGCACAACCAGAACATGTGAGTCAGGTCGCAGGGGGCCTGGGAGCATCTATCACACCTGTTATCTAATCTATCTGGATAAATCCTGGAGAGCTTAGCCTTGCTATAATGTAGTCTATGGAGAACTTTAAACTGTATTAGGCTGAGTCTAGCGCAACTGGAGGATGAGTTAACGGCTCTCAGGTCCTCCTTCCAAAAGTCATCAGAGAAGGTGAACTGTAGTTCCTTTTCCCAATTAGTTATAATCTTGTTAATGGCAGATTCATCAACCGGAGAAAAAATATCATAAAAATAAGAGACATGGCGCCTAGACAAAGTTCTTGCTCTAAGTACAAGATCCACTCCACTGGGAGGCAGGGATTGGGGGAATTGTGGAGAGTGGGTCTTAGCAAAATCCCTTAGTTGAAAGTATCTAAGTGAACGCGCCTATTGATGCTCAACTTTAAGTCTATTCAATGTTCAATGTCTTCACTTAACAAATAATATATGCAGCCAGCATATAGATATTTGCTTCTTTTTTATTTATTTTTTTGGACCAAGGTGACTTTAGCTAGGTCCAGGGCTGGATTTGAAACCAGACCTCCACATAAGTACCAAGCCCCAGTATATGGGCTGCCAGCTCAACCAAGTGAGAACAACTTTCAATCAGAATACATTATTTGGCTAGACTGACCGAAGCTCTCCACTTTGTTAGCTTAGCAACATTGCATCAGCTGTTGTACCATTTGCCACTAAGCAGCATATCCTCAGGGCAGGGGTCTCCCCATCTCAATCCGTCTGCAGTTCCCTGAATGTATCCCAAAGTCATAGGCGTAGAATTGGATCCCAACTAAATGCAGCAGCTTTAACAAATGAATTACCGTTGTAGGAATGTTTTTGACCTACAGTTTGGTGTGGTCTGTTTCAGTAGTAATCACTGTGACTGATTGATGCCTGGCTTTTTAGGTATGCAGAGTTACCCTGGAGTGGTGTGGATGAAGAATGGCCTTATTCACTTGCAGTGCAGCCTGTTTTCTTGAGGGTATGGTTACCGGCTAAGTGCATTATGGTTGGACCTCTGTGGGGATTTCTGTTAGTGGTGTCCATTAATTAATATAGTTGTAATTAATGTGTTTCTTTAATAAAGGCTTTCATCACAGATTATAAAGGTTCTCATCACAGGGTATTTTTACAGTATTCGGATCATCACTGTAAAAAATACTCTGTTACAAGTAAAGGTCCTGCATTTAAATGTCACTTAAGTATAATCAGCTAAATGTACTTAAGATATTAAAAGTAAGAGTATAATGCGCCAACAAAACGACCAACAAACTAAGAAAATTACATAAGTATAAAGAGATAAGGAAAAATGTATCGATACGGAAAAATATATAAAGGAATACATGAAAATAACATAAATAAAAATAAGAAATACGAAAAATAAATAAAGGCTGAATAAAGGAAAAAAATAATATGGAAATAAATAATTATGTTAAAAAAATAATGCTTGAGGAAATAAATAAAAATGATTATTTGTTTTGTATTTTCTTCACCCAAATATCTATTTATTTGATCCTGTGACCTTGACTTTTCAAGGTATATGAAAGCAGAGTAATGATGAAGCTCAGAGCCTGGAGATTATCAGCCTCAGTTATGCTGCTGAGAGCACGTAGGCACTAGGCTACTTCTGCATCACCACATTACAATCCTAACGCTGACTATTACGTCACACTGTGTCTCCATCACTCGCCGAATCAGGAAACGACCTTCAGTTAACAAATCTTCTTGTGAAATAACATCCACTCCGCTATAGTTTCTCCACTCTTCATTTCTTGGTTGGTAGGATGACAAAATACTATTTCCGGCTAATATTTCAGTATATTTTTACATTATCCAAGACACCAAAAGTTGTATTGTTTCTAAAAAAAGACAATTAACGCGTCCGTCTTTTATTTACTTCAGTTGACTAGAACCGAAGTAAAGTTAGGCTTCCTTTTGTACGGTGTGTCCGCCTTTATGTCTGCCTAAGAAAGTGAAATGCGACACCGACACAGATGTGGACAAAGCTCGGTGCTTACGTGAGGACCGAGGCGTATGTCTCCAGTGTGCATCCCGGCGGACGACATTTCTGAGAGGAGGGTCCAGTCTGACCGGAATCCTGTTATAACAACTTACAATATCCAGAGACTATTCACCACCATTCAACACAATTATAATAACGTTATAGGATCCCTTCAAATTACTCGAGTGACTTTTATCCTACCTGTTACTCTGTTGCTGAGCACTCTATATAACAGGGGAAATACATTCCGAGAAGTCCGTAGCACATACGCATATACAAATGAAGAATTGATTAAAAGGAATAATAATAACATATCACACGGTAGCCTACCTGTTGAGATGCTGACCGCCTCCCTCAGAAGCTCGTCCACAATAAACGTGTGAGCGCACTACCGTCGCTGGACTTTATCTAACGCTGGCGTGCAGGAACCATTGTCTATTATTGTAGCAGGGGAACAATTTCACAGACGTACCGTGTTGCCATGGAATCCTTTGCATCACACGAGGAAGTAGCCAATTCCGTGAAGTATGAAGACTTATGAGCAAAAACGGAAATACTAATGTCACAGATACCTAACCATTGCTAAAAAGTTGAAGCTACTGTGTTTTGGTAAGTTCACGTATGCATTTAATACAGTGTGTGTGCGCGTGAGTGTTTGTTGTGTGAGTGGGTCTTCTATACAATGTTCTTAGAAATATTAAAAGCAATACATGGAGAAAAAAGAGCACAACATCAATTATTGAGGGACTGAAATATTACAAGGTGGGTGTGTCTGTGTGTTAAATGATTTTAATATTCATGTTAACCATAACATACTCAATGCTTGATAAACACATTGATGTGTTTATGTGGCACCTAGTATATTTTGTACATCAACCTCGATCTATCCATATGTTTACATCTTGATTTTTGAATCTGAACACACTACATGTATTGCACATATGTCCATCCTTAGAGACAGATCAGCCTCTGTTGCTCTCTTTATATATACAGTCTATGGTTGCTCCCCCCAAGGTTTTTTTCTATTTTCTCTCTGTTAATTGTGTGGTTTCTTTGGGAAGGACAGAGGATGTCATATGCGGTACACACTGTAAAGCCTCTTGAGGCAAATATGTCATTGTGATATTGGGCTATATAAATACATATTGATTGATGAATTGAACACTTGTATTGTGGCTGTAGGTATATCCAAGTTCCACCATGCAGTCGGACGGGGACAGTGGACTGGGAGACCTGGAGGCCCAGCTGGTCAGGAAAGAGATGGAGTGGAAGGAGCTCCAGGCTGCGATGGTTCATCAACTGGAGACTTCCCTCAAAACGGCACAAGAGGAGTGCTTATCCCTCAGGTACCACGTCTACATGAACCTCCAGTCAGCATCAAAGTACTGTGTATTTCCACTGAAGCTTTAAAGAGCCTGTGACAGCCTCCCAACAACTGTTGTGCAATGAAATATTGGGCTACTAGTAATCTCGAACCGTCAGTTTAAAAAAGAAAAAGCGATACCGTTCCGATAAATATCAATAATTTCGAACATCGCGGGGAAATTCCTTCGACTCATTTTGAAGTTTTGGGGGAAGCCGGAAGTAACGTCAATGGGAACGCTTCACTGTGCGGCGAGAGAGCCAAACACGAACAAAGTGTGTTGTCATGCGTAGAAATGGTGAATTACTGAGTTTAGGTACGTTAATAACGTTGTAATGAAGTTGACTACAGTATATTCATATTTGTCAGTGCTTTCATGTCAATTCGGCGAACATAAACATAAATGATCGTGGTGAAGATGATGATTACATTAGGATTAAAAATCGGTAGTGAGAGCTGAATTTCCTCCCGTCGGATGTGATATAAAAACAAATCGATTATTTTTATAGTTGTAAACTCAAGTGGATGAAACTACATTTATTAGTGCTTTCATGTCAATTCGGCGAACATATGATACATTAAATGATCGTGAGGATCAGGGTCGGCGTCATGGGGGGTCATTCGCGGGCCATGCCCCCCCAAATGAGTCACTGTGCCCCCCCAAAGCAGGGTGGGCAAGCCTTGCCACTTTGCCGTTTTTTGTTTTTTTTAATCATATAAGTGAAAACGTTTCCACTAAAGGTTTTTTGTGTGAAATACATCAGAAATAAAGAATACAAATATAAAACACAGCCTGAGGTGTGCTCACTGCTGCTCTCTGATTGGTGTGTTGCTTGACCAATGACCCCCGACCTTTGTTTTGTTATCATTACGTGGCTGTGTGTTTAGATGAGAGCCCAGTGGCGATCAGTTCATCTGTTACACTGATTATACAGTAAGCCATCGAAAATAATATGATATAGTAGGCCTACAGTACAAGTAGCCTACTTCTGGGTCTCTGTGTTTCATTCAAGCTCGGCTCTGTGTGTGTGTGGCACGAGCGCATTTTGTGAGTGGTAACGTGGAATGTTGTTGTTAGCATCTGGTTAGCTAGCTATGCTAACGGATATAAAGAGCTGTTTCTACACCAAGGTGGAGGAGAGTCCTCTCCTGTCAGACTGAGAGGATCGTATAACCTCAGCTCAGTGAGGTAAGGACTCTCAGTGTTTAGATAGTTAACTTTAGTGTAGGTTATCTCAGTGGGTCTCAAACGGTTTGGTCACCATTTATGTAAACAAGTATTTGCGAGGAATACCTTTATATGATCATTATAGTTATTAAAGAATAAGAGAATAAATGAAAAACGGGTATGAAATACTATAGGACAGTAACACAAGAATACAGTTTAAAAGGGGAGTGATTAGTAAAATATCCATGAAGAAAAAGTAAATCTGTGTACAGTTCTGTTTCATATGGATGCTGAGAGATGTAGGCTATCTATAGATCTCTTCATTTTGCTCTCAAAGTGCACCAGATTGATGCATTTAACTTCAATATTTTAAAAATAATCTTCCCGGGGGAGCATGCCCCCAGACCCTCCTAGAGGAGGTTAGGTCCACCCCCACCTAAAACATGTTCACATGGATAGGATACTAAATACATTTGCACACTTTTTATATGTTGGCCTATGTCCTTATATGTTTCTGTTTTGGTGGTCGTGCCACAACCGTGCATGTATGCAGAAGTCATAGGTGCGCTATAAAATAGCACTACACCCCTGAAATGTGTGTGAAAGACACTTTACAGCATGTTTTTTTAAATTGAAGTTGCGTTGGTGTTTGTGTGTTGGTTGTTGACGGCAGTGTGTGCCCCCCCTTGGTAAATGCTTGCCCCCCCATTCGATTTGTTCTGGAGCCGACCCTGGTGAGGATGATGATTAAAAATCGTTTGTTTGAGCCGGTCTGCATTTCCTGATGAGAAAACAAACCGATGCTTTTTGTAGTTGTAGTACACCAACATGGATTAAACGTGTGTTTTTTTTTACCACAATGTTGGGGAAATTAATGGATAAAATGCACGGATTATTATTATTATTATTCCCACTCCGATCGGGACACTAGGTCCACCGTTTCCCCGCAGCGAGGCTCCCCCCGTTGACTGTTTACGTGGGCTGGGTGCAGTGGCGGACTGGCCATCGGGACGAATCCCAATGGGCCGGTACCGAAGTGGGCCGGTTGGATAAGTCACTAGCACATCCCCCACTCCCCCCGTTGACAATTTACTAGCGGTACCGAAGTGGGCCGGTCGAGAGTCCCGGGATGATTTTTAGTCCCATTCCACCACTGGCTACATGACCGTATGATCGCCCATATTGACGCACCTAATTCCTAAACTTCTAACAGATACAACATAAACCGATCCTTCAGCCTCATATGAGCTCTCAGACACGTTCAACATTAAACTCTCATCGCTGTCTGAGCTTGCTGCTGTGTGCGCCATCGTGCGTTTACATGCAGATGCTGTGATCCTGAACGGTGCAGCTGGAGCGCTGTGCCCGCAATGACGTCACACGTAATTTGGCGGGACTTGAAGAATCCCCGAGAAGATCCAGGAAATGGTCAACATTGAAGGGCAGATTAATGGTTATCAAAGTACAAATATCCAAAATCAGTTCAGTAACGGTTTTCAAGGGGACAATATTTACTCAAATTGATGGGTTTGGATGATGGGGGAAACTCGTGTCACAGGCTCTTTAAGCTGGAAATATGCTCTTAAACATTTTTAGGATTGCCCTGTCTCTGACTTTCTTAATAAACAACGAAGTAGCTGTGTAGCTGTTTGGTTTGTTGACAGGTTACATCACAATAATTGTGTGATGTTAATTCTCAGAGATTAAGGGGACATCACCACCATTGCAAACCCAAATATAATCAGTTTACAATAATATAAAATGGAGAAAATAAGTTAGGCATGTTTGTTTCATAAGATACATAGAAGATCAAGCAATTATCCGAAACAGTTTCTGCCAATCAATCAATCAATCAATCAATCAATCAATCAATCAACACATTCATTGTTTCAGTCATTGGTTTGCTGTGACTTACTGACTTAACACAACTGACTCGGGTGGATATATTTTGTTTCTTGAATTAGTATTAAGCACACTGTTTATTTGTAACACAATTCAATATCAATATAATTGTGTCAGTGTGTAAAAGTTGAAATCTCAAGGTTTAAGCTAAATAATTAAAGAATATATTTCCTCACATGTGTCGTAGCAACTTAAAATTAGCTGTGGTCTAGAGAAAATGATCAGTTAGGTAACAAACGTACTGCAACACAATATTCGTATTAAAGGTATCAAAGACCTTTTATACTTGCAAGTATGACGTCTCCACCAAAGAGAGCGTACTGTTCTGTGAAAAACAGGCTCTCCATATAGGAGGACATCAGAGCTTATTTACATTACAAACAACATGTTGTGAGGCCAGCTGGTAAGCCCCATGGCACTGTATGCAAAAACCCACACCCTACAAAGAACAATGGGATATGCAGATAACCCCAATCGTAAATTCCTTTCACTCATCCTCTCTTCCTGTGGTTGTCATTAAACCCCTTTGTCCAAACACATCTGTTGATCACACATACATGTAGGCCCCATTTACACGGGAACGCAAACGAAAATGAACCGAATTCGATATCAAAAAGTCTTCCGTCCACACGCAATCGGCTCAATAAACGTGTCCCTTCACACGAGACCAAAATAAATTGGTGACCACCAGCTTGTTTGCGGTGAAAAACTGGATGTCATGCTGGTCACTGGCCCTGCTTCAACACAGACCAGTTTGAAAAAGGAACAGAAACTCTAGACAACTTTCTCTCACTTGATAACCTTTGATTACCTTCTACTTATACATTAATAGCATTAACTTGGTATTTTTTGTCTTTTTTTCCCCACAAAAATAGCCGATTAATATTCTTTAATGTTTCATTTACCAGAGAACGTTACCAGCAACTGAAGGAAGATTTCCAGTTCAACCTTGCCATCCTGGATGAACGAGACAGAGAGCTGGAGAGATATGATGCCCTAACTTCAAGTGCTCTGACCGAGGAGAAAAAACGGTATATTAAATCTGACCCTTTTCAATCTGAAAAACAGAAGGAATAGTTCATGTATGACCTTTAAATTAGATCGAAATGAAAAAACCGGTATGTGTATATTGAAAAGCATTACAAGATAGCAAAACTGTAGAAAAGAATACATTCAACCAATGTGGTCATTGTGCTTAAATGTAACATATAATGGAATGAAAAAATTAGCTTTCACATAAAACCTTATTTTTAATCTTTGTAGGACATTGCACTTTGCACCTACACATTACTTTACAACCCCAGTTTTTGGTATTCATGAATTGTGTTTTCATTCAAACTCAATTTGCTACATGCTATGTCTAAACTTAGTAAATCATTAAGGTAAAAAGTACATTTACATCCACATTTAATTCCTTTGATAGCTGTTAACCAACCCTGGTGATTTTGATTCTCAATGTCGGATCACTTAAGAGGTCAAATCCTGAGAACAAATATGTTCTATGTGTATAAATGTGTTGGGGACAACAGCTGTTCGAAAAAACAACTGAGATATACAATAGACCATGGGACAAATCCAATCATCAATTATTCATTTCTCTAACTTATGTTTGCTTGCGTTCTCTTAATGGAGAGTTTTCTTTGGTCATGTGAAATACACCTTAAATGTATGTTAGTACATATATGTTTGACAATAACTCAACATGGAATAGAAACACTTTGTTAATACATTTAAAGGTAGGGTATCCTTGTATAGCCAGACCAGTCTCCCCAGTGCTGTGTCAGCACTAGAGAAAGAGCAGGCGGTGTGACCTTTTGGAACCAGAGCTCATATTCTTTTATTATTGTCTTATTAAATATGTATTATTATGTTATATCATTGTATTCAATCCTGAGTCATGCCCAAGGAGATCAGCGTGGTTCCCAGCAGACACTTTTTCCTATTCTGAAATACTGCTGTCATTTAAAGGCAGGAGGAGCTGAACCACTTCCATATGCAAGTCGCTGGGCTGGAGGAGCAGAGAACCAGAGCGGCTGAGGAGAGGCAGGAAGAGCTCAGGAAAAGCCGGCACAATGCTGGTCAGCAAAGGTTACAGCTGGACGAGCTCAAGTGGTGAGTCAGGGAGTATCATTTGAGAGTACTAAACGGAAAAAGCCAAAAAAAGTTGTGATTAGTGTCGGCATATTCTAAATGTACCATCGTAGTATTGGCAATAAAGGGAGTCTTTGTTACTGACAGAGGTGAGAGTTAAAAGTGACAACTCCTTAATAATAACTTCATGTCTTAGTCATATTCAGTCTGTTTTTCTTTTGAATCAAACATACAAATGTAATCAACCTTGGAGATGGGCTCTGCTGCACATAGTAGTTCCAACTCTGCTGTCCAGAGATTTGATTTATAAATACAGTGCACTTGCAAAACAGAATGACCCAAAAGCTACATTTCCCCTCAGTGTGAAATAAATGTTCTTGTTGGGAGGGTTAAATCAAGGCCAGTTTATTTGTATAGCACATTTCAACAACAAGGCAATTGAAAGTGCTTTACAAAACACATTGAAAGCATGCTGAAAAAAACTTAAGATAGAGTACAACATGTATAAATTACAAACATAAAAGTTCAGTGCAGTGTAAGATATAAATAGTTATTTGATTTAATTGAAAGCAGCGGCTTTCAAGTTGTATCAGTCCTGCAGTTTTCTGGGAGCTTGTTCCAGATATATGGAGCACAATAATTGAATGCTGCTTCTCCATATTTAGTTTTATTTCTGGGAACAGAAAGCCGACCCGTCCCAAAAGACCTGAGAGTCCTGGATGGTTCAACATGTAGCAAGAGATCAGAAATGTATTTAGTGCTTTATAAACCAGCAGCAGTATTTTGATTTCAATGATTTGACACTCAGAAATTCAGTGTAAAGACCTCAAAACTGGAGTGATGTGATCCACTTTCTTGATCAGCAGCACCATTCTGAATAATGTGGAAGCAGTCTAATTGACTTTTTAGGAAAACAACAATTCAGTAGTCAAGTCTTCCGAAGATGAGTGCATGGACAAGTTTTACCGAAACCTGCTGGGAACATAGATCCTTTACTCCTTGATCTATTCTTAATGTAATAGAAGGCTGTCTTTGTTATCATCTTAAATGTACTGTTGATATTCAGGTCCGAGTCCATGACTGCACCTAGGTTTCTGGCCTTTGGGTTTTACCATTGCCGAGCATTAACTTTCAATGTTCTTTGGCTCCAAAAACAATTAACTTAGTTTTATCTTTGATTAATTAATGTAGGATTATCAAACCCACCCTCAGTAAAATAATACCGAATGGGAAAACTGACACGTCCAACAAATGATTTGTTCAATGCTTATACTCTGTGCTTGTATTGGACCATAGTCTCCCGGTGAAATGTTTATGTACATTTGTGTGTCGTCTGCATAGCTATGTTAACTTATGTTATTGTTTTTAGTAATCTCAACCAGTGAAAGCATGTAGATGTTAGAGAGAAGAGGCCCCATGATGGAGCCTTGAGGTACTCCACATGTCACATTTGTCCTCTCAGATGTGAAGTAACCTATAGAGACAAAGCTCCTGGCAGGAAGTCTAACCCAGTTTTCCATTTGGCCTACTAATGTGTTGTGGTCAATTTGGCGAAATGCAGTACTGAGATCTATGACCAAAATCTGAGATTCTGCGTGTGGATGTCATTGATGTACTCAATGATACTTACTGCAAGGTTTTATGGGGCCTCTAGTGTAGAGATTGTTCTTTTTTGAAAAGGTTTTGCTGATTGCAGTTTTCAAGGCCTGTGGGAAAACACCTGAGAGAATAGACATGACAAATTGAAGCTGATCTGAGGCCATGCAATGTAAAACATTTTTTAAAAGCCTGTTGGTCGAACATCAAGGCAGCAGGAGGAGGATTTTAGTTCCTCCAGGCTTTTATGGTTGATCAGAAATTGTTGTGTCATGGTGTTTGAATTGATTTTAAGTGGACACAAAGAAACACATATCCTATCTTGATACGTAGTCACTGACCACTTGTATAATTTTCAATTTTGCAGTAAAGAAGAAGCTAACTAATTTCAGGCCCTGGTGGATAGTAGTTAATGGCTTCTAATACTGTTGGGTTTGTTAGTCTGTTGACATTAGCAAACAAGGCACATGCATTATTGTTTTTGGCGATGATGTTGAAGAAGAAATACTGCCATGCATTTCTCAGTCCCAAATGATAAAAACAAAGTCTCTCTTATACATGTCACAATGAACCTGAAGATTTGTTTTTAGCCACCAGCATCAAGCTTTTCAACACTCTTTTTTTATTCTTACTAGCACAACATTTCTCCATGGAGATCTTTTCTTGCCAGAGACTTTCTTTATCTTGTGTGGGAGTCGATGCATAGTTATCGAGAACACAACACAGTTCTCAAGCCCTTTCTGTCCTAGGGGATGTCAACAATATGATTACACAGTCAATGTCAATATATACTATAGACAACAATTCATTAAAGTAATAGAAAAAGGTTGTACAGTATTTGGGTGGCCCCGTAGATATCGTTGTTAAGATATCTGTTTGCATTGAAAGGAATGATAAAACAAAATAGTCACTCCTGCTTTTCTTATGCACTCTAGTCTCACTCCTAAAACTATTTATTTTAGTCAAACAAGTATTAGTGAGGTCAAGAATGGGCTCATCATTGATCAAAAAGTAGTTTTCTTGCCAAAGACCTGAGGTTTAATAAAGCTAGTACAAGTTAGTTAAATTACAATACTTCCAACTTGTTGTGACAGGCCACAGCCAAACAAAATACTGTGGATAAGGAGTTGATGCTAAATATGTTGTTGAGCGCTTGGCTTGTTTCTTAGAAGGTTCACAATTATCTTTGTACTACTTATCAAGACGGATAAAGAGGCTACTGGAATACGGGGCCCATGAAGAGTCACTGGTCCCATCAGATGATTGTTGCAAATGTTGTTTAGTAGAGAAGGGGTTAAGTTTCATCTTATCATTAAGTTTAAACTGGATGAGGTTTTTTGGAAGACGGGTGTAGACTCTCCCACAATGAAGACTCTCCTTAGGCGGGGGCTGGGGTGGTTCTCCAAGGTTTCTGCTGCACTTAATCTCTGTCTCCTGTTTTCATTCCTCTTGTCCTTTGTCCTTGTCTGACTGTCAGTAGAGGGTTCCTGATGAGCACCTCCGACTTTTCAAACATCCTTTATTTTAGTGTGAAGTGCAATGTTTTTCACAGTTGGGTGTTCAGCCCTGATATTCAGCACCCTTTCTGCCCATTCAGAGAACATTGGCCTGCACTCGGAAGCAGGGTTTGAGGTTTGTGTGGTGTCTTAAGTCCTACACCGGTGGTTCAATCTAAGTGGGGTAGATCACCTGACCTACTCCTGAGCAAATTGAGCCTGCTTACCGCGTTAAATTACCTTTTTATATGTATTTTTGGGGATGAATAAAGTAGGATATATCTTCTATTCTACTTCACGAAAATGTATCCAAGCAACACATTCAGTCGATGAAACATTCAAACTTAATTCAAGTCAGATTTACTCGTTCCTTAGACGGGACCTGTTCATGAGCAAAATTCTTTGTATTTTTCTGATATTATAGTTTATTCTTCATTCATGAAGTATTATGCCATGCTGACAGTACACTTGTATATTTGTGATTATTTGAGAATTGCTACTAACCCCGCATTTTTCATGTGAACGTGTTCGCTGCCATACTGATAAACACTGGGCTGATTTATCAAGTTGATAACCAGCTTAGGACTGTTTAGTGGGATTGTGTTTTTTAGAATTAGTTTAGCCAGCCAGATAACACACATATATTCAGGGTATGTTGAACTGGCTTTGTAGTAAAGGCCTCATATCCTTGTAAAAACATTGTGTATCATGTTGTTTAAAATGCCTATGCTTTTTAAATCTTTTACTGCAGCCTTTTGCTTTCTGAGTTACTTTCAGTCCTCTCCCTGCTGTGTGAAAATTAGAAGTTAGCCAGGTCTGTTGCACTGGCCAGGGTAGGATTTTCACGACAATGCCCCTCAGTCTGGCTGTGAGGCCCCATAAATAATTGTACGTCCTACGGCCACCATGGCCTTTGTGCCCCTCACACTGTTACAATCTCGAAGTTGCTTTAAAAGCGTCAGAGCAGTGGTCTGGTCTCTGAACTGCATTAGCCATGCTGCGTTCACAACAGACGCGATGCGAATATTTGCATTGCTCTAATCGCTGGAGTTTCACTGCAGCTGTCAGCTGTGTTATTCAAACAGGACGCGCTGGAGAGGGGGGCGGGGCTTATCTCCATGTAAATACTGTGGTAGACTCAACTACAACAAAATTATATGAGGAGCTGTGAGCTCTGAGTGCTAACAGCTAATGTTTTCGTTTTCTGATTCAACGTCAGTGGCTGAGATCCTCACTGCTGATTGGCTACCGTGAGAACTTCTCACGCGAATTTGAGGCTCGAGTTGAAAATTACACACACACACACACACACACACACTTTTGCATTTCAAAGTATTGCTCGTTCATACAGTTGATTGTTTGAGCTTCACTGTGCACTGCTGAATGATGTATGTGCAGAGTTGGACCCTTGAAGGCTGTTTCTTCTGCTCTGAAATGGAATATATTTGTTACATATTAATAGAATTTTAGATTTTTAGATTTGATTTTGGATTTGTGAATCGGAGAAGTAGTAGATAGAAAACATACCAAACACTAATTATTCAAAGTAGAGTATTTTATTTTATACACGGTAATACTAAGGAGGCATAGGCCTATATATGATGATATAATGTTTGACATTATTGATATTAAAAAAGTGTACAAAATTTGTTTTCTATGTCATTCGTGTGTTTTTCTTATAAGTTATTTATTTGTAAGCTCCAAATCCAAATGTTTCCCTCAATGGCCTTTGTGGCCTGGCATGTGGCCTTCGTGCCCTACAAGTAATGGTGACACCAAAGGCCAAATAGCCTTGCCCCTAAAATGACGAAATTCCAAGCCTGGCACCGGCTGTTTGTAAATTCTAAATTAGCCCAGGCAATGCTATACATTCAATTCCTACAAAGTTGTCTCAGGACAGCCAGCCAGCTAATCGCTGATCAGGGTCAGGGTCTTCTCGGATTCACTCTGTATTATACATAATTCTTAGAAAAACTCTATAAACTCTGCTTTTGAGCCTCTCCAAGGTGCCACCATCTTCTCAAAACTCGACCTCAGAAATGCATACCACCTGGTTCGTATCCACCAAGGAGATGAGTGGAAAACTGCCTTTAACACCCCTCTTGGTCACTTTGAATATCTAGTCAAGCCCTTTGGACTCACTAACGCCCCAGCTCTTTTTCAGGCCCTAGTTAATGATGTCTTGCGAGATTTTCTCAACCAGTTTGTTTTTGTGTACCTTGACGACATTTTGATCTTTTCCAAGAGCCTGGAGGAACACCAGAACCACGTCAGCCAGGTTCTTCAGAGGCTGCTTGAGAACAAACTGTACATCAAATCTGAGAAATGTGAGTTTCACCAGGAACAGGTCAGCTTCCTGGGACACATCATCAAGCAAGGCAGGTTGGAGGCAGATCCTGGGAAGATTCTAGCTGTCACTGAGTGGCCAGTCCCCACTACTCGGAGAGAGTTGCAGAGGTTTCTGGGTTTCGCCAACTTCTACCGCCGGCTCATTAAGAACAATTGCAAGGTTGCAGCTCCACTCTCCAGTCTCACTTCAACCAAAGTCAAGTTCTCCTGAACCACTGATGCTAACGATGCTTTTCTTACTCAAGTCACTGTTCACTTCTGCCCCCATTCTCATCCAGCCGGACTCAAGCAAGCAGTTTGTGGTTGAGGTAGATGCATCGGACATCGGGGTTAGCGCTGTTCTGTCTCAGACAGCAGAGCCTGACAATAAACTTCATCCATGTGCTTTCTTCTCTTGCCATCTTTCCCCAGTGGAGAGAAACTATGATGTGGGCAACAGGGAGCTGCTGGCGGTGAAGATGGCGTTGGAGGAGTGGCGAGGGCAGCGAGCTGCCATTCCTAATTTGGACTGACCACAAAAACCTCGAGTACATCCAGTCAGCCAAATGGCTAAACTCCCGACAAGCCAGATGGGCCCTCTTCTTTGGTCATTTCAACTGCTCTCTGACATATCGCCCTGGTTCCAAAAATACCAAGCCTGATGCCCTGTCCAGGTCGTTCACTTCTGTGGGACCAGTTACCTCTGTGGACTCTATTCTCCCCCAGAGTTGTGTTGTGGGTGCCCTCACCTGGGAGATCTCTAACTCTATCCAGGAGGCGCTATTGGAGCAACCAGACTCAGGTAACGGTCCGCCTAACCTTCAGTTTGTCCCCAACTCTGTCCGTTCCCAAGTTTTGCAGGGGTCCACAGTTCTCGTTTCGCCAACCTTCCTGGGGCCAACCGCACACTCTCCCTTCTCAGGAGACATTTCTGGTGGCCAACTGTTGATCATGACACTAAGGAGTTTGTTTCAGCCTGCACTACATGTGCTAGGAGCAAGGCCTCCCATCAGAGACCTGCGGGATTGCTCCAACCCCTTCCAATTCCAAGTCGACCCTGGTCTCATATTGCTCTGGACTTTGTCACCGGCCTACCTCCCTCACAAGGTAACACAACTGTTCTCACTGTTATTGACCGTTTCTCTAAATGTGCCCATTTTGTAGCCCTGCCCAAGCTACCCTCTGCCCTGGAGACCTCCCAATTACTCACCCAGCATGTCTTCCGTTTGCATGGAATTCCGGCTGACATCGTCTCCGACCTTTGCCCTCAGTTCACCTCTCTGTTTTGGAAGAATTTTTGTCATTCGCTTGGTGCATCGTGTTAGTCTACTACAAATAAACACGACGTTTATCTTCTGTTAACTTGGTTTATTCAATCAACGTGCATAACACCAATACAGAGCCATTAGCGAACAGTGGACCTCATGCTCCAGGTCGACACAGACTAACTGCGCATGCGTTTCACAGTCTCAAGAGGGCAACCTAGACTACCGTAAGGCCAGTAGTATAGGCGCAAAGAGATTACATGTTAACAATCTCATTCTATATTTTTAAAGAAATAAACAAAACAAAAACAACTTTACATTGCATGAATCATAAAACAATCATACAGTGACTTAAAACAAAAATGTTTAAATTCCCTGAGTAGTCAACATAAATTAGGGAAACATTTAAGAAACAAATACATAAACAAAGGTGTTTACAATGTTCCATTTCAACAGACACTTTAACCCAGATCCCATTGTCCTTCACTGAGTGCTTTTAAGAGCACAAGAGCCGAAGCTCCTTTGAGATTTTGCCGAAGCTCCTTTGAGATTTTGTCAAGGAGAGACTCTGAGGCATGAACTCAATTGCACGACTCAGATAGTGTTCTCAAAAAATAAAGACTTTACTGGAATTTAGCACAGTAATCAAAACAAGGAAAACAAATATACTCTTTCGAGGAAAACTAGCAAGTGATCAATGAGGTAGATCCGTGGGAAGTCCGTGAGGTAATCAGGAACATGGGTCATAGTAAGACAACGAACTGACAATGAACAGGAGGAAGCTACCACAATATATACACAGGTAAAGGGGACACAGGTGGAAACAATCAGGGCGGGGAAAACAATCAAGGATGCAGGAGACAGAAGGGGGCGGGGAGCATGGAGGCCTGAAATGAGAGGGATGATTAATTAAGGGAATAAACATAAAGCACAGGGCAAAGGGACATGACAAAACTAACATAAAGAATAAACTTTCACTATTAGTTTCCTAGACATGACAGATTTTGTGTCTGACCAACGCACCTGCTTGATCCTCTTGCTCTGTATGAGCTCCTTAATGCTACTGATTTCCAACCTGAGTCTCTTCTCTGTGACTTGTTTTGTGGACTTGAGCGCATCGAACAGAGAGTGGTTATCAGTCACACAGAGTACAGGGGGTGCATTCAGTCCAGCATTTCCAGTAGTGAGCTCAGAAAATAGTGTGGCTAGAAAAATTGCATTGTCTACCCCATCTGACATGGCAAGAGTTTCCCCTGCAAGGGTACTGCGAACCACTCGTCTGATTTTCTTTGAATGCCAACAGAGGGGGAAAAACTTCCCTCTTTCTCCCATAAGTGTTATAAAAGTACCTCCCTGTGTACCTCCGTCTGGGAGGTTTCCAAATGAAGCATCACTGAAAACTATCAAGTTCAAAGCATCACTGTTTCCCAGATGTTGAAATCTGAGTGTCACCTTTTCAGACTTTAGCTTACGGATTATCTTATTAGCATCATGAACAGACTGTACTGTTGCCCCTTTTATATTAGAAGCCAAACAACATGAATCAAATATTACATCAGGTCTTGTCTGTTTAGCAACCCATAGGATCTGTCCTATTTTTGATCGTAACTGCTCTCTCTCAGTTTCGTTGAGGGGTTCATTTCTCTGTGTGGCCCGACTTGCTTGTATGGGAATAGGCTCCAGGTTCTCGATATAACGTTGTTGATGTACCTGAACTTCACCGTTAACTTCATCCATTCCTACATAGGAGAACTTTTCATGCTCCTCACGCCCAACCTTGAATGCAGACTGCAGTTGAGGGATCACATTAGATGAAAAGTTTGATGAGCCTGCCCAAAGAAAATCATCTACATGACACGCAAGCACCCCAGTGACCTTACATTGCTCATCCAACCAGTAAAAGACTGCCGGATCCACCCGTGACACTCTACCACCAGTACTCAGCATGATTTCCTTCACTTTGTTGTACCAATATAGTGATGCATCTGCAAGACCATATACACATTTCTTTAGTACAACATGTTGACATCCTGCCTCTAGAGGGGGGCGGATATAAATATCCCTGGATAGCTCCATACCCTGCAAGAATGCAGATTTGATGTCCATAGAATGGACTTCCCACTGGTTTTGACATATCACTGATAACATAAGTCTAAGTGAATCTGTGGCACATGTGGGGGAATCTTTCGGTAACTCTTGAATATTCAGCTCTTCAAAACCTCTGGCAACCAGTCGGGCTTTAGGCACTATACCCTTGGGAGTGTCCTTAAGACTACAAACCCATCTGGTGGAAATGCATTTCTGCCCTGCATCTTCAACTTCCTCAAATACATTATTATTGTGCCAGTTCTTTATTTCTTCCTGTTTAGCTGCATCAAATGAGATGTCTTTGGTTACAAGTACATCAGCTTCTCTGTCTTCTGTTTCAATGTTGAGATTATCAACCTGTGAGATATCAATTGATTCCTTTTGCCCATCACTACCATCATTCTCTAGATGTTGCATGTTATACCAGGTTTTATATTTCCCCGTAGCCTTGCCTGATCTCCCTAAGACTCTTGCTTTAAGTAGAGTATTGTCACCTCTGTTCATATATGTTACAGTCTGTCCTGTTTTTAAACTCACACCTGCAGAAGGGGCAGGATTATTATGGGCATTAGGCCTATGCGCCATTTCAGTTTGTGTTACGCTACTCAAAGTGTTTGGAGGATCGATCGCTTCACTTGTATTGGCTTCCCTGTCACCGAACTGTTGTTCATTCTCTGTATTTTGCTCACTGTCTAAACTACCAGTTGCATTGTTTATACCTTGCTCACTTCCTGCTTCTGTGTCAGCATCATTTTGTACCATTTGCTCTTCATTAACCTTTGTGTTCACCTTGGAAAGCCTAGAGTGATGCACTCTCACTAGGCAACCACCATGCCTCACAAAAACAACAGCCCCATCCTGACCAATAACTATCCCTGGTCCTTTCCACTCAGTGCATTCAGCTCGTTTGTAATACACCTTGTCACCCATCTCATATTTCTCATCTGTGGGTCTGAGCTGCTTACGTAGAGCTCGTCTTATCCTTTCTGAGCACTCTGCTTCAGTAAATGCTTTTCTAGAGGCATGCAAGGCTGAAATGTGCTCTCCTACTCTAGCACTCATAGTGGTACCTTCTAGCGCAGGTGGTTTATCAACCAGTACAGAAGGAAGGTTGGGGTTCTGGCCAAACACCAGTTGATGAGGACTGTAGCCGTGCACATTGAGCATACTGTTCTTAGCCATGAGAGCCCAGTCTAGGGCTGTTTGCCAGTCACATCCATTTTCCCGTCTGACCTTCTGGATGATGTCTGTGAGGGTCTGATTGTGTCTCTCCAGTAGCCCATTGCTCCAGGGGCTGTATCCTGCCGTGGTTTTTGTCTCAATGTTAAAGTTCTCTGCCATGTCACGGAACTCTGCATTGTTGAATTCTCCTCCATTGTCACTGTAAAGTCTCCGTGGTGGGCCGTGGACGCTGATCCATGTATGAAGGAAAGAGTTCACCATCACAGAGGAGTTCTTTGTTTTCACAATGCTTCCAGCGCTGAAACGTGTAAATTGGTCAATGATGTGGAGGTACCATAAACTTGGCTCCAACTCGTGCAGGTCCACTGCCACCGTTTCATTGTACTCTGAAGCCAGAGGCAAGCCCACAGCAGGCTTCGGCTTGGTCTTGCTGTATCTCTGGCATACGTCACATTCCTGTACTATTTGTTGTAAAATAGTGTCACAATCTTTGTCTTTATTTCCCGAACTGCGGAGGAGTCGCTGTAGTCTTTCTGCGGAGGCGTGACAAAACTGTTTGTGTAGTTTCAGGAGAGCTTTGTGTTTCTCATTTGAAGTCATATTTTCTGTGACTGTAAGGACCTAATCTTCATTCTGGCTGTTTTCTGTGACTGTAAGGACCTCATCTTGAATTTCAATTTGATTGATTCCTGTGTCCTTGTCTCTGATATCTATACAGTAGTGTCCTGAACTGGTGAGTTCAAGAGGGATATTCTGTTTAAACATCACAGCTCTATCATTCTCCATGTCCAATATGGTTCCTGCCCTTTTCAGTGAAGTCTTACTCAGAAGTAGTGGGATATCAGCTTTGACTACTTCAGTTTCCACTCGACATTTTGTCTGTCCTATTTTGGCAGGCAGTTTCAGTATTCTGGAGGAATGCACTATATTTCCATCTCCAAAACAGAATGGTCTGGAGCTTGGAGTTTCACTTTTCACAATCTGGTTCACTTGACTTTGACTGAGATCAGCGAGGAAGCTGTCCAACCATTTTTCTCCACACACTGTGCGGGTACATGCAGTGTCAATGATAGCCGTCCCTAAAGACTCAGTTAGAAATACCTCTGATTCAGACAGTGAGGCTTTAGTAAACAGTGTAATGTCACATTCCTCTACCTTTGTTCGATCTTCAGTTAGCTTTACTTGTTCGCTACTCTTGTGAGGGCAGTCTTTAGCCCAATGGAACGTGCTCTGACATATAGCACATTTTGATCTCTTACCGAGCCTATCCAGTGGGTTGGTACCCTGTGACGGTTGCCTTTGTTGTCCAACTTGTCCAAACTGCTGCGTTGTTGGACGTCTGAATCTTCCTTGTGAGCGTTGCTCTGTGAATAACGCTTCATCGTTAACTTGTATTCCGTTTGATGTGCCGCCTTGCACTCTCCCCCCAAAGATCCTCTTCAGCGCAGACTTCATTGCAGCAAACGTTACATCTGTACACGCAGTCAGCGCCATTTGTCTATTTTTCTCGTCTAGACAAGCCGTGTCCAAAAGTTTAAAAGCTAGCACGGCGTCAGGAAGAGTCATGTCGTACTTTTTCATTCGGTTGTATCGCTGTTCAAATCAATCACATAGTCCGCCATGGACACGGAGCTCTCCTTTTTGATACAGGCAAAAAAAGAGTAAGCATCGTATGCGCGGTCTCTCTCTTCTTTGAGAAACATGCCATCTAGTTTTGCTAGCAGTGTGTCCATACCATTGTTGTTGTTCAAATCCACAGCGGGTATTTCCATGGCGATGTCCCTTGCCCTTCTTTCCAGCCCCAGGACAACGGCGAGGGCTTGTTTCTTCTTATCAAGTTCAGTAACCAGCTTCCAAATGGCGATTTCATTTTTCCAACACTCGTATGGTCGGGATTCGTCGAACTTCGGTGGAACTTTGTAGTTAGCAGTAGCCATCTTCTGCTAACCATCCTCTGCTACCAATGTTAGTCTACTACAAATAAACACAACGTTTATCTTCTGTTAACTTGGTTTATTCAATCAACGTGCATAACACCAATACAGAGCCATTAACGAACAGTGGACCTCATGCTCCAGGTCGACACAGACTAACTGCGCATGCGTTTCACAGTCTCAAGAGGGCAACCTAGACTACCGTAAGGCCAGTAGTATAGGCGCAAAGAGATTACATGTTAACACATCGGTCAGTCTAACCTCTGGTTATCATCCCCAGTCTAACGGCCAAACTGAGAGGGCCAATCAAGACCTGGAATCAACTCTCCGCTGTGTTGCCAATCGCAATCAGTCAACCTGGAGCTCCCTTCTACCCTGGGTTGAGTATTCCTTCAACTCACTCACGTCTTCTGCTACTGGTCTCTCACCTTTTGAAGCCTCCTTAGGATACCAACCTCCCCTGTTTCCTGAAAAAGAGAGTGAGTTGGCAGTTCCTCCCATTCAGCAACATGTTCGTCGGTGCCGTAAGATTTGGAGGGGCACTCGCTCAGCTCTCCTCCGGACTTCTGCCAGAAATCAATGGTCAGCCAACCGCCACAGACATGCCGCTCCCCCTTACACCCCTGGACAATCAGTTTGGTTGTCTTCCAAGAATATCTCCCTCCTTACCGAGTCTAAGAAGTTGTCCCCTCGGTTTATTGGCCCCTTCCTCATTGAGCGCATTATCAACTCCTCGGCTGTCCGCTTGAAGCTCCCCAGATCCATGAAGATTAATCCCACCTTTCATGTTTCTCAAATCAAGCCAGTTCACACCAGTGACCTGTGCCCTCCAACTGTTCCCCCTCCTCCCCCCCGAGTCATCGATGACCATCCTGCCTACTCCGTGTTCCGACTCATAGATGTCAGGCGCCGGGGCTTAAAGTATTTGGTTGACTAGGATGGTTATAACCTTGAAGAACGTTGTTGGGTTCCACGTTCACGGATCATGGACCCTGTTATGGTGAGGGAGTTTCACAGAAGACATCCAGACAAGCCTGGTGGTCGCCAGGAGTCTCCCGTCAGTATCCATCTGCCTACTCCTCTGCCTGCCACGTCCAGCCACCTACCCCTCATCTGTGTTCCTCCGTGCTTCCACGCACACCTGCCCCAGCCTGCTCGCTCTCGTCAGCTCTGGATCCCCGGCTCAACTCGCCTGTGTTCCGCCGTGCTTCTCCGCACACCTGCTCCAGCCTGCTCGCTCTCGCCAGCTCTGGATCCCCGGCTTCGGACCTCCGCTCCTCCTCTGGAGACACTCCCTGGTCCTGGATTTTGTGGATTATCTAATTCCTCTGTTGTCAGTATAAAACGGTTTTGGACAATAAACCTTTTGCTTCATAAACTCTGTCTCCTCTCTATAGTGTTCAGTGTTGTCGGTTCACTCCTGTAAGCTCTCGGAGAGCGTAACATCCACATAACAAACAATCATGATATTGTATATACAAAAAGCCGCCTCTATTTGTATATAGGGGAAACACTGCTGTGTTTGGGCTAGAGTGGATAATGATGATAACAACAAAGTGAGGGGTCCGAAATGACTGAGTCATGATACAAAAATTGCTACACACCAAACTTCTGTAAGGTTGTTGTTCAAAGTTGCAAAAAATATCCAAAGAATGAATGCAGATGATTCTTTGGTGCTTTTTTGCTACTCTATAGAGAGAAGGCCTATTAAAATGTTCCCACCATTGATTCGATTTTCTTTCATCATCATCCAATACTAGTTTGCTTGCCTCTAAAATGTACTTGTCATTTGTTTTAAACTCATCACATCGGATCAGGAGCTCAGTCCATAGGGACGTGGCTTGGGAACTGGATGGTCTTTGGTTTGAGTCCCACAGACCAAAATAACTGACCCCCCCAACTGCCCCTAGTCACAGAAGTATGTCGGCCCCTTAGCTCTTACACCTCTCCTTAAAATGCATGCGTTTGTGCATATTTGTTCTTCTTCCTCTACTTCTTCACAACCACTTGCTACCTGTATCTTCTTGAATGGATTTACTACTGTGTATCTCAATGTTTCTTACTTAATCAATGGCACTGTCACTCTTTGTGTGTTTTTTGTGTCTGCTTTGCAGTTCTATGGCTACTAAAATCCAAAAGCAAACAGAGGAATATGAAAGGATGAAATGGGATTCACAGTTTAGGATCCAAGAGTTGGCAGGAGAGCTGACCTTACAGAGACAGGTGAGCACTCTCTCTCTCAATTCAATTCAAAGGGGCTTTATTGGCATGTGAAAGTTAAACGAAACAATGGCCAAAGCATCAAAAAACAAAAAAACACAAACAGACTAGCAAAGTTGTAAATAGTATTGATATGATAGCTCTATAGATAGCTAGATCTATCTCGATATCTATATCTCTCTCATATCTATCTATATCTCTATCTTATATATCTCTCTCTCTCTCTCTCTCTCTCTCACACACTTACATAAAACACACATACATTTCCTTATTCTCAAGGTCATAATGGTAATGTCTATGACTTCTGCTCGCTTCCTCCATAAATAGAACATATATCAATATGACGCAATGGACTTAAAATAACTGGGGGAGCAGCCAGACATTGAGACCTTTTGGATGGACCCACACAAAAGAGCTCTCAATATCGGACCCTGACTGGTGCCTGTTACCACTGAGCTGGCAGGCTTTGTTATCATGCATACAGTGTGTGTGTGTGTGTGTGTGTGTGTGTGTGTGTGTGGTGTGTGTGTGTGTGTGTGTGTGTGTGTGTGTGGGTGTGGTGTGCTGTGTGTGTGTGTGTGTGTGTGTGTGGTGTGTGTGTGTGTGTGTGTGCTAGTGTGTGTGTGTGTGTGTGTGTGTGTGTGTGTGTGTGTGTGGTGTGTGTGTGTGTGTGTGTGTGTGTGTGTGTGTGGGTGTGTCTTCATGTCTGTCAGGTGTCAATAGGAGAGGCTCCTCCCCTCACTGTATCCAAAATAAAGCGGGATTAACATACTGGAAAGGACAAATAAAAATGATTCATTGACTATTTAATAAGTTGTTGTGAATATTATAAGCTCAATTGTAATGGTTGTATGTGTATGATGCACCACATTAACCTTAAATATATTATGAATGCCAATACACCACTAATTAAATTTAGTAAAAAAAAATATATATTATATAATATATTGCAATTTCGTTTTATAAAATATTTTTTTTTCATTTATTGGACATTTTAGTATGATTTCTTGTGTTTATAAATATGTATGGAAGCCCATTTCCGCCACTTAAAACAATAATAATTATGAGAGAAAAATGTCAAAATAATGAGATAAAAAGTCATAATTATGAGATAGGAAAGTTGAAATAATGAGGTAAAAAGTCATAATTATGAGATAGGAAAGTTGAAATAATGAGATACTTTGTCACAACAGACAAACTAGCAGCTCTTTGGTTCGAGTTCTCCTATTTATCTTGACACGGAAATGGATTGTGAGTACATTGAGGACTACTTTAAACGTGGATTATTGTGGTCCAAACTATGTATGCATTGATGGTTACGACAAGCTTAAGCCATTTGGAATTGCAATCAGTGGATGCATTGACGGGTTTTCCAGAAATCATGTGCACTTCTTATCTCATAATTTCGACTTTTTTATCTCATAGTTTTGACTTTTTTATCTCATTATGACTTTTCATGGGGATTTTTTTTTTTAAGTGGCGGAAATGGGCTTCCATAAATATGTGTTTTTCATTTCTTTTTTTATTGTGTATTCTTACTATTTTTGTATCATTTTATTTTACAGCATTAGTAAGGTTAGAATTACATTACATTCAAGATTTCAACATGACACCAAAAAATGCATTAGTTCCAAAAAAAGGATATATGAAAAAAGATAAATACATTACAAACAACAGAGTTAATGAAAAATGGTTGTCAATAAGTTATATTACATCCCCACTCATGCCTTGAAAACAGGCACTCATGCCTTTTTTTTTAAATCTCTAATTCCTTTCAACCTAAAACTGTCACAAAACCCAATTTCCTCTGAAAAAAACGTGTTCTGTATTCTTAGTCTATCTTTCATCACAAATGTAATATTACACATATAAACACAACATCTGTAATGTCTGTCCTCTGTTCACAGGAGACGACAGCAGCTTCTGAAGCTGAGCTCAGACAGCGGGAACATGAGTTCAACTTGAAAATGGATGAGATGCGCGCTGTGGTGCTGTCTTGTGATCTCAAGGTGAGGAGAAAGTAAGAATATATGTGTCTTATGAGTCCATTTATGTTTTCTATCATGGTTTTTGTATAAGATGCACATAAAATCTAGACAAATGCACAGAACATATACTGTATGCAATGTTCTTAAGTTCAATATTCATAACTAATATTCATACTATAGGTCTATTGTAAAGTAGTACTCTAAATCTAAATAATCCCACACAATTATGCGAGGAGATTAGATGTAGGATTTCCTGATCTCTAATCTTCCCGTGGCCTTCACACTAATGGTCCTCTGTATTTGTTGTTGCGTGCGTGTCTGTTTGTGTGTCCTTGTCCAGGTGAAGCTGCTGTCCAAAGAGACAGAAGTTCAGTGCCAGGCTCACGCTGAGTCCAAAGAGGCTCTGCTAGCCTCCCAGGTGTTCTGTGAGCAGCTCCGAAGCCAGCTGCTACACAGAGACCATGAGATCAGAGACCTCACTGCTGCTAAGGATTGCAGGTTTGCTCCCGTCCTGCTTTTGTGTGTGTTTGTGTGTGTTTACGTGTTTAAGATTTCCAACTTCTGTCTCAGGATAAAGGAGCTTGAGGACAAGCTGAAAAGGATGGAGACCAAATTGAGGAAAGAAGAGAGTAACCACATTAAGAAGTAAGTAAATGGATTATAATTAATAACCATAGACTGTATAGTTAATAACACAGACTCCTCTCAGTGTAGCAGTCAGAGCTAGCCGTTTACGCAGATCCTACTCACCTTATTTTGGTTTACACATCCATTCCCCTTAATAGCTGGAAGGATGTCAAATAACTGACTAAGTTAACTGCTAACTGACTTATGTGACTAAGGTCACATAAGGGTACATTTCTAAATATTTGTTTATTTGGATAAACGTATCGCTTAGTGGGAATCAAATGTATTATTTTCTTATCTGAACAAATATTTAAAAATGAAAGCTGTGTTTTTAAACCCTGAGACAGTTTCTTCCGCTCTAACTGCACTGAAGTTAGAACACAAAAGTATGCAATGCGGAAGCTCCCTAGTTTTAAACAAGGATGGGACCTGTGGAGACAGAAAGGCAGATGGAAGGAGAAAAAGAAAACACACCTCTTTAAGAAGCCTATGAACAGTTATATTTACAACGTATTAAAGTGTTAAGTTATTCCTCGGTGAAATACCTGTAGCCATTAGCCACCAAAATAAAATAGATAGTATGGCTATGTCTAGCTCTTTTTAATGACTTCTCCTCATTTGATAAGACCGCAGCACATGTGACCCGCAGGGTGGCTGTTCACTCATTCAGCTACATTGGTGTTCACTTGTGAATAAATGACCTTATTGTTACCCTAAATCTTCCACATCTTTTCCAATATCAACCTCTGTTGTTGTGTTTGGCAAGATGTGAGGATGTGATCCGGGCTCTGAAGGAGTGTGCTCTGCAGCTGGAGGCTCAGTATCAGGCCCACACAGAGAAGCTGCAGGAGATAGAGAAACGCGTTGTTAAACTACATGAGAATGTGGAGGTTCTGGCTGCACGGGTACGCTGCAAACTGAAGGACCAACAGGATGCCATGGATCTGAAAGATGAGACCATCCAGAGGTGAGACAGATGGAGGAAAATGATCATATTGACTATTCGCTGTGTTGATGTAACCAGTTGACCAGAGATCCTGTATGCCTCTGTGTTCCAAGGCTTCGCACAGAGGTTGATGGAACCAGGACTGGCTGGGACAGGCACATTAGTCAATTCTCTAGTGAGATGGTTGTCAAGGATACAGAGATAATTTCCCTGCAGGAGAGAGCAACCAAATGTAGGACTGAGCTGGAGAGGAGCAGGGAGGATATTGAAAGGTGAGAAGACTGCAGTCAAATGGAGGTAAATAGTTATAAATGAATAAGAAAGTGTTGACAGGACTAGACAGGTAGGAATGAAGGAATGTAGTCCTTTTTAACCTTGTCTGTCCGTGTAATCAGGTACAAGCAGCAGCTGGGTGCTGGTTTGCAGAGAGAGAAGGCGCTAGAACAGAAGAAAGTCCAGGTTGAGCTGGAGTGGCAGAGACGCTGTGAAGATATGAAGGCCCAACACTACCTTGCTAATGAACAGCTAATACAAGAGCTGACCCAGGCTAGAGACCAGGTAAGCTTCCTATACATAACACAACCCAAGCTTTGCACCCCTTTCTATGTGGATTTACTGGTGCATATATATAGTAGAGTTTACCTGCTGTCTGTTCTAATGCTGTGTCTCAACTCAGATATTTCCCTTAATACACAGCATGTCGTACACTTGCGCAGTTTGTGAATATATAGTGTGACAAACGGTGGCTGTGCCCTTACAGGAAGTGACTATTGCCACTATTAGCTAGGTAGCTAGCTAGCAACATTATTGTTTGCTTTAGCAAATCTATAGACTTAAGCAGATAAAATAAACTGTCTCTTCTTTCAAACACCAGTATAGTGGTGTGTCCATTAAATACTGGTAAAAAAACAGTATTTATGTAAAAACATGTATTTTTGGCATTTTCCTCATAAAACTGGCTCTTGCTGATTGTTAGTCTAAAAATAATCAGGCTATCACATGACTTCCATTGGTGACTAAATCCTCCTCAAATGAATAATGCAAAAGGAGGACAGTCACACCTTACTGCTGACACACACTGCAGGTAAGACACTGTGCTTCCCAGATGAAGGATCCTTGCCGCTCTGTGACAGCCTCTTGATGAAGAAATGAAACCAGCTTTGTTGTTATGCTGGTTTGATAATCCATCCATCTTCTCCCGCTTATCCGTGGTCGGATCGCGGGGGTAGCAGTTCCAGCAGAGAGCCCCAAACTTTCTTTTCCCTGGCGACATCAACCAGCTCTGACTGGGGGATCCCAAGGCGCTCCCAGGCCAGCGAAGAGATATAATCCCTCCACCTGGTCCTAGGTCTACCCCTTGGTCTCTTCCCAGCTGGACGTGCCTGGAACACCTCCCTAGGGAGGTGCCCAGGTGGCATCCTAACTAGGTGCCCGAACCACCTCAACTGGCTCCTTTCGACGCGAAGGAGGAGCGGCTCAACTCCGAGTCCCTCCCTGATGACCGAACTTCTCACCTTATCCCTAAGGGAGACACCAGCCACCCTGCGGAGAAAACCCATCTCGGCCGCTTGTTTGATAATGTAGTCTGTAATTATATCTGTACTAAAGTTTGATGTTGTTCTCTATCAGGCTAAAGCAGATCTACATGAGAAAGAACAAGATCTGCAGGACTTGAGTGTCTTACTACGGTGTGTAAAAACAGAGAGAGACCAGGCACTGCAGGTGAGAATATCCTCCCCCTTAACACTTTCATGATAAATAATAGAACATTACTCACACATTATCCAAAGCAAAAGCCCAGGGCTGGCCAGATGAAAACATCAGCCTACTGATCATTAATCCTTAGTCGGCATCAGTCTGGCGTCACGGGCACATCACCTGATCAAGACCCCAATCCATTTGGTAGAAGAAGAAGTATGCATGTTTTGAAAGTGATGGCTTCCTCACAACAGCAGGAAGTGCTCTTTGGTATGTTGTCTTGACTAAATAAGAAAAATACAAAAAAATTAAATATCATGGTCGACCAATTTACCGAGAAGCGGCTAGAGGCAGCGGCCACAAAGCATGATCTGCATCATAGAGATAAAGATGGGATTGCTGATTACCAATAAATATGGTTTTGAAAATAAAGTTGAGTTGACTTGTCATGAGCAGTGCTAATCAGACTGTTATAACTGTTTCATCATATTTTTCATTTACTTAAAGACTGATCTCAGTTTTCAATCATTTTAAAATAAAAAAACACTCTGGTTGATTTCAGGGTTTTGTTTTGGATATTCTCCTCAAGTGTTTTTGGACTAGACTATAGTAGTTCCAAAGCTATATCATATTCTTTGACAGATTTCCCAAAAATGATCAGGAGTAAGTCCTTCCACTTCATGACCTTCCCTCTTATACTATCCTCAGGCCTGAGTGTCACCTCTGCACTCACCCGTAAGATGAGACAGAATCCAGCCGCTGTGACATTGCCAACAGAGCCAGGCCCGAGTTCCCTGGGGTCCCAATCTACATTCTGCTAAAGGGCCCCCCCCGACCTGACCCATGAGCCATGTGAACCATTTGCCATTGCACCACAGTCACACCTGACACCCTGATGCCCCCACTACAATGCTCCCTATTTAAAACGGCTTGCCCCAGTTGTTGGTATAATAAGAGGGATAAATAAAGAATTACAGAAGATCATATTTTCTTTAGAATTCATCGGTGAGTGACCTTAAAATTTAACAAGAAAACAAATAGCCTATAAATGAAGATAACTCTCACTTTTGTCAGGCACAAAGTCAAAGAACATAGTCCTGACTGGCTATTTGACATGGAGGTGAAGCGGGCCCTTTTGTTATTTGCTCATCTATCCTGCTACTTCAATACCAAAGTAGAAGACTTTAAATGTTTGTTGGAAACTGTCAGCTCTCTAAATGCAGAGGTGTTCATCAGTGGCCCTTCTACCGCCAGTCAGAAGAGGAGTGGAGAGATTCAGCAGATTGTTTGCACTGAACACCTGGCTTTCAACTGTCTGTACTGACCGTTCTGTTCATTTTATTGACAACTTTAACTTGTTCTGGGATCGCAGACATCTTTTTAAGGCAAATGGAGTTTGTCTGAACAAGTCAGGAGTGAAATTGTTTATCTCTAACATATTCCACTGCCTGCATCATCAATCTGTTCCCTCTGCCAAGGACAAGCGGCAAGAGGAATCAAAACAGGAGAAAGAAACAACACATCACGCAGAAAACCCTGAAGAAGTATCACTGCACCCGCCTGAGGAATGTTCTGATTATGGGAGACCTATGACACAAATGGAGGAGTCTCCACTGCCCGTCACCCCCCCTGTCAACGCCTTTGAGGATACTCTTCATTCATCCCCCAGCTCTCTCTACTCTCCGCTCACCCTTTCACCCTCGCCCACCCCCCTGGAGTTCGATGACCGCATGACGGGGACACGCAGGGTTGGCAGCATGTCCTTTACCCCCGCCCCTCAACGACGCCCACCAAAATCACCGAAGCAGAGATGCGCACCATCTCCCCCGGCTTCATCACCATGCCTACCACAATCATCAAAACCACAACAATACAAGGAAGATGGAAGCAGATTTACAAACCCCCCTTCCTACAGTGTAGCCCTCACCCTGCCCTCCTATGATGAGAGGAGCAGGGTGGTGGGTCCTCCCTCCCCTTCAAAGCCTGATAGGGATGTGTGTGTACAACACGCTGGCATGTCCTTTACCCCCGCTCCTCAACGGCCACCAAAATCACTGCAGAGACGCGCACCATCTCCCCCGTCTTCATCACCGCGCCTACGTCAACCACCTCCCCCCCTGGTCAACCACCTCCCTTCCCTTCAAGAAAGCATCTGCAGTCTCTGAAGCCTGATAAGGATGTGTGTGTACAAAACACAACAAACTCTTACTGATATGTGATGGGTCCAGGCTCAAGGGCGTATGGCACTCTCAACTCTTTCCAGGACATGTCGGGGCCCTGCCTGCCTATAGCTTTGCCGATATCTGTGTTGATAGGTAATAGATTAAGAGTGGTGAATCATAGAAACAGGAAGCGCTCAAACGTTTGTGTGAGTTTATCTAATTTAGCATTGATTCCATGTCAGCCACAGCTTGTTACAAAAAACATGACTGATAGTGTGTTTAACAAACTTAAACTAGCTTTATTAAATGTCAGGTCTTTGGCAGGAAAAACATTTTTAATCAATGATTTTATCACTAAACACAATCTCGATTTTATGTTTTTAACAGAAACTTGGATTGAACAAAATAACAGTGCAGCTGTTCTTATCGAATCAACCCCTCCCAACTTTAGTTTTATGAGTCAGGAAATAATGCATAAGAAAGGGGGTGGAGTTGCTATTCTGTTCAATGATTCCATTCAATGCAGGAAGACATCTTGTGGAAACTTTGATTATTTTGAATATGTGGCCCTTCAGCTGAAATGCTCCTCTCGAGCTCTGTTCCTAAATATCTATAGACCACCCAAATACTGTGCAAGCTTTTTTGATGACTTTACTGAACTGCTGTCTATAGTGTGTATTGACTTTGACCGTCTAGTCATTGTTGGTGATTTTAACATCCATGTTGACAACCCCCAGGACAGAGGGGCTAAATAACTGTTTTGTGTTCTTGATAGCTATGGACTGACTCAGCATGTGACGGAGCCCACGCACAATAAGGGGCACACTCTGGACTTAATTATCTCAAAGGGTCTGAATATCTCTAAGGTTGTGGTGACTGATGTTGCACTCTCTGATCATTCCTGTGTTTTCTTTGAGAGCTCTATTTCTGTTCACAAAAATGTTCAAAAAGAGGTAACCACAAAGCGATATTTAACTGAAAATACTAGGGAAATGTTTACTCAGAATTTTTGTTCCACACTTGCCCCTGCCAACATCTCAGTAAATGAGCTAGTAGATCATTTTAATTCAAAAATTAAAAATGTTATAGATGCCATTGCTCCAACTAAGGTAAAGGAAGTGTCTGCCAAGAAAATATCTCCATGGAGAAAGGCCATGACCGTGAAAACAGAAAAAAGAGAATGTCGAAAAGCTGAACGCAGGTGGCGAAAAACAAATCTCCAGGTTCACTTTGAAATCTATAAAGAGAGACTTGGCCTTTATAATTTGGAATTGAAAAACGCACGACAATCGTTCTTCTCTGACATCATTACCAAAAACAAAAACAACGCACGTGCCTTATTTGCTACCGTCGACAGACTAACTAACCCCCCAGTGTCAGTAGCCTCTGAATTTCTATCCACCAGGGCATGCAATGATTTTGCCTTCTTCACTGACAAAATTCAGAAAATCAGACAAGCAGTCAGTGCCTCTGCATCAGGGACAGCAAATGTGTTGTCTCTGTGTCCACCTAACATCAATTCAGACATCATGACACAATTCCATCAGATGAATGATAAAAACCTAGAGGACATTATTCAACTTCTGAAATCCTCCTCTTGCTGCCTTGATATTATTCCAACAGGATTTTTCAAAGATGTTTTGCTTTGCATGGCCTCAGATCTACTTCATATAGTAAACAAATCTCTTCACTCAGGTATTTTTCCACAGGCACTGAAAACTGCTGTCATTAAACCGCTCTTAAAAAAGAATAATCTAGATGCTTCAGTAATGAACAATTACAGGCCCATATCAAACCTGCCATTTCTATGTAAAATCATTGAAAAAGTTGTTTTTCAACAGTTGAGTAATTTCTTGCATTTAAATAACTGTTTCGATGTGTTCCAGTCAGGCTTTCGTCCAAACCACAGCACTGAGACTGCTCTTGTAAAGGTCTTTAATGACATCCACTTAAACACAGACAGTGGCAGAACTTCAGTGTTAGTATTATTAGATCTCAGTGCTGCGTTTGACACTGTTGACCACAGCATATTACTAGACCGACTGGAGAACTGGGTGGGACTTTCGGAAACAGTTCTAAATTGGTTTGAATCCTACTTAAAGGACAGAAACAACTTTGTTTCTATAGGTAAATACACATCTGAGTTGACAAATATGACATGTGGGGTTCCTCAAGGCTCCATCTTGGGGCCTCTTCTCTTTAACATCTACATGCTACCACTGGCTCAGATAATGAAAAACAACAAAATAAGTTACCATAGCTATGCAGATGACACACACATTTACGTAACAATTTCACCAGGAGACTATGCTCCAATTCAAACACTGAGTAAGTGCATTGAACAAATCAATGACTGGATGTGTCAGAACTTTCTCCAATTAAACAAAGATAAAACTGAGGTAATGGTTTTTGGAGCCAAGTCAGAACGTATAAAAGTTAGCGCTGAGCTTCAGTCTGCAATGTTCAAAACAACAGATAAAGCCAGAAATCTAGGTGTAGTCATGGACTCTGACCTGAGTTTCAACAGTCACATTAAAACAGTTACTAAATCAGCCTACTATCATCTAAAGAATATATCTAGGATTAAAAGACGAATGTCACAGCAGGATTTGGAAAAACTTGTCCATGCTTTTATCTTCAGTAGACTCGACTACTGTAATGGTGTCTTCACAGGTCTCACTAAAAAATCTATCAGAAATCTGCAGCTGATTCAGAACGCTGCTGCTCGAGTCCTCACTAACACTAAGAAAGTGGATCACATCACTCCAGTTCTGAAGTCTTTACACTGGCTTCCTGTGTGTCAAAGAATAGATTTCAAAATACTGCTGCTGGTTTATAAAGCACTGAATGGTTTAGGCCCAAAATACATTTCTGACCTCCTGCTAAATTATGAACCATCCAGATCTCTCAGGTCTTCAGGGACTGGTCAGCTTTCTGTCCCCAGAGTCAGAACTAAACATGGAGAAGCAGCGTTCAGTTATTATGCTCCAAATATCTGGAACAAACTCCCAGAAACCTGCAGGTCCGCTGCAACTCTGACTACTTTTAAATCCAGGCTGAAGACTTTTCTTTTTGTCGCTGCTTTTAATTGAACTATTCATATCTTAGACTGCACTGTAACTTTTATCCATGTATTTTTTCTTTTAATGTTTATTTTATTAGCTTTTCTTTTTAATGTTAAATGCCATTTTCTTAATGTCTTTCATTTTTTGTAAAGCACTTTGAATTGCCTTGTGTTGAAAAGTGCTATATAAATAAACTTGCCTTGCCTTGCCTTGCCAAAGAGTGGTTCCCGGGAACAACAAACAGCACATTCTATGTTCTCTGTAGGCTTACTTTTCATGAAACCTTCCTTCAGCCGTTGCAGAATGCCTTCCCTCAAGGAGCAATAACAGCTTTCGTACAAAAAACCTTTCTAAAACCACAAACAAATGCGGCACATCAAAACGGTTTATTATTGCAGTATTTCTCGCTGCTTCCATGAAACTAGTACTGGGGAGCACATGCTGTAGCTCTCTGGATAATGGCAGTTACTTTAAGAGGATTTGACCTATTGCCATCAACACGAGGGTCAAATATGATCCCATACACCTATAGTCATGCAGCGTGACATGTTTTTGTAGGCCTAACCTGGAAATTAGCATGGCAATGGCTGCATTGATCAAAAGCAATGGGATCTTTTCATTGGATTTTAGAATATTGCGTTAAATGAGATCTGAGGCAAACAAACGTTAATGAAATGTACATGTGTTGTTCAGCAGGATATTCTCCACATACTGTAGTTACACCACTTGTATGATAATTTAAGCGTAAATGCATAATTCAGAAGTAAAAAGCTAACATTAGGCTATAAACAAACTACATCATGGTCGCATGACTTCACAACACCCCCGCTAAACTCAGACCCGGCAGTATACCTAAATCTTTACATTGTTTATTTTGACTAGATCTTCACTTTTTCTGATGAGTTGTAAGGTTACCACTTTATCACATTCCCACACATTATGTTTCTTTTCTTCACTTCGGCTTAAATGTAAAATAAGGGCCTACACTTTCTCTTAATATACATCAATGGCCTAGACATAATGGCAAAAGTCCTGGATAGCGCCGGGTCTGGTTAAGCTATATGTGGCTAATGTTCGGTGTGAGGATTTTTAGAAGTCTAATTTAGCCACTTGTTAGCAATCGCCACTTTTATGAAATGTACTGTAAAAGCTTTTTGCTGAAGTATTTTATGTCGTAAAACAATACGTGTAAATTACATTACATTACATTGCATTTAGCTGACGCTTTTATCCAAAGCGACTTACAATAAGTACATTGGACCAGGAAGACACAACCTTGAAGAAAACAGAATCATATAAGTACATCAGGTTTCATAGAGCCAAACATTTCAAGTGCTACTCAACTGGCTTTAGGTAAGCCAGTCCTTTATTAGTATATAAGTGCTTTGTTAATAATTCTAACGCTCGAAGTGGAGTCGAAAGAGATGAGTTTTCAGTCTGCGCCGGAAGATGTGCAAGCTATCTGCTGTCCTGATGTCAATGGGGAGCTCATTCCAGCATCTTGGAGCCAGGATAGCAAACCCACGTGTTTTTGCTGATGGGAACTTGGGTCCCCCTCGCAGCGAGGGTGCAGCGAGTCGTTTGGCTGATGCAGAGCGTAGTGCACGTGCTGGGGTGTACAGTTTAACCATGTCCTGGATGTACGAAGGGCCAGATCCATTCGCAGCATGGTAAGCAAGTACCAGTGTCTTGAAGTGGATTCTAGCAGTTATCGGAAGCCAGTGAAGGGATCGGAGGAGCGGAGTGGTGTGGGAAAATTTAGGAAGGTTGAAGACCAGACGAGCCGCTGCATTCTGGATGAACTGCAGAGGTCGGATGGCACATGCAGGTAGACCAGCCAGGAGGGAGTTGCAGTAGTCTAGGCGTGAGATGACGAGAGCCTGGACCAGAACCTGCGTCGCTTTCTGTGTCAGCTGGGGACGCATCCTCCTGATGTTGTAAAGCGTGTATCTGCAGCAACGGGTTGTAGCAGCGATGTTTGCAGTGAAGGACAGGTTGTTATCTAGGGTCACACCCAGATTCCTTGCAGTCTGAGTCGGGGAAACAACACAGGTGCCGATGTTGATAGTCAGGTCAAGAGTGGGACAATCTTTTCCCGGAAGGAAGAGCAGCTCAGTCTTGTCAAGGTTGAGCTTGAGGTGATGAGCAGACATCCACTGAGAGATGTCAGCTAGACAAGCAGAGATGCGTGCGACGACCTGGGTCTCTGAGCGGGGAAAGGACAGAATTAATTGGGTGTCGTCAGCGTAGCAGTGGTAAGAAAAACCATGCGGGCTAATGACTGATCCAAGCGAGTTTGTGTACAGGGAGAAGAGGAGGGGACCAAGAACAGAGCCCTGAGGGACCCCTGTAGTTAATTGACAAGGGTCGGACTCAGACCCTCTCCAAGTTACCCTGTAGGTACGGTCTCATAATCTAATCAAAAACTAATTCAAAGATAATTGACTTTAAAACTAAGGAGCGTAGAAATGATAAAATGCGAACTCATTCCTGGTTTCAGGACTCATTCCCTCAACACTCTATATACCATGTGATTGTTGATATGCATCCAGCTCATGCCCCACTAAGTTCTCATAAGAGTGCATTTAGAGCTGTCCTTTTTTATAGCCTTTGGCCTTTTCCTCCAGCATCCTGAGGTATGATGGAAAATGGAGAGGAAAATGTATCAAATGTCTCCGATAACACTTAAGCTTAATGCCTGGAATGAGATTCTTCATAGCATGGCATGATATGTTGGTGGTCTTAGACATTAGGCTGCATGTTCCAACTTTGTGTGAGTGTGTTCACACATTTCATTTGCCAGATTTAATACAACACTCAATACTTGGTTACACCATGATAAGAAAATATTTATAATGGGAACATACTGTACACCTCTATATGTGTGTAGCATGTTTCACATGTTATTTGTAATGGAGGTATCATCTCTGTGACTGACACATGTCTGAAAAGCGTAATCCATCAGGTGCTCAAAGCTTCCTGATAAAGGACACTGTTGAAGGACCTCAATTCAGAAGGTTCCTACAAGTTCTTCAATTGTGAACATTTGCCTGAATGCTTCATATTCACAAATCACATAAGCATCTATTTGAAAATGCAAGGATAATTAATAACTAATGACTGCTAAAATGATAAAAAATACAATCAAAATGAATAAAGGAATCTAATGGATACAGCAATGAACAAATTCAGTTTTAAAGAGGGTCACCATGTATCAGAGGACATTTGTGAAAAGTATTTGGCATATTTGTACTAATTGTACCAATTCAAGATTATTGGATCAGGGATCAGGGATAACAAATCCCTGATGGATCAAATAATGCACCTTTTAAAGAGGCCCTATTATGCTTTCCCTTTCCTGTAGTGTGTTCTATATGATTTTCTCTAAATGGTCTGCAAAGGCTAATATCCCAGGAGTTTCTTTCCACCTGAAACGCCTCTGTTGGACTTCTTTGTTTACTTCCGGAACATAGTGATATCACTATGTAACACTTTGTCTCCAACACATTGTACGTGATCTGTACGAGACCTTCAAAAATACTGGGTTCATCGTCACCATGGGATACTGGCCCTAAAAAGGTGTCAGCACCAGGTTGGCGCCATCCACAATCGACCATGAATTATTCAGTTGTCAGTTATTGTCCTCCTAGAGCCTCTGAATGACTTTTCCTGACCTGGATATCAGAGTTATCTGTGCACATTCAAAATTGTATTTACCATATTCACTCCACTTTTCTGCAGACACTTTGGTTGTTCCATTTGAATCCTTCTCAGCCAGCATATGTACAGGATTCAAACTTTAAGACAAATAAAAGGGAGGCTTATCTCATTTCTAAACAATTCTTAATAAATGCAGCAAAGCAACTTGTTACAGGATCATACAGACATTATACTGTACACAACTCTCACGTGTGTTTATTCCCCCCAGGGTGTCACACCACAGGGCGGCTCTCTGGCATCAGAAGAGATCCATCGTCTACAGCAGCAGAACAGCAGTCTGCGGGCCGTGATTACCCAGATGAGGAAGGACATGGAGGGTCTCATTCATCTCCTTCCCCATCCACAGCCACAGGCCTCCACTCCCCTTCCAGTTAAACATCCAGGAGCCCCTGCCCCCCCCTCCCTCGCTCCTACAACTGACAATCAGGTGGCCACTGGACCAACGGGGCAATCCACTGACACAGGTACGGAGAGTACTCTTTTACAGAAACATTTACAAAAACAACACTTTTCTTCTCTCATTACTGTGCATACTGTGAAAAGCTACGCTGACATTTTGTATTGTTCAGCTCCAGGGGCAAGTTTAACAAAGACAGGCTTGGACGACGATTCATATCAGACTTTAGAATTAGATGAATGTCTACATCAGCCCGTTTCACAAAGATGTCTAGTTCCTGCCTATTTTAAAGTTGTATAACATAAATAACACTTTACAAGGCTTTTCAACATAAATGTGTCTTGAGTGTGTCAAGAGTAAATGTTAAAAAAAAGGTTACGGTTAGTTTTTATTTCTAATTAATATAGCACATTTCATACACAAAGGCCATTCAAAGTGCTTCACACAAAAGAAAAACAAAGTAAATAAAATTAAGTCATAAAAGAGTCATTGTCATTGTTAACACAGTAGATGCTGTGAGTTGCAGGAGCGTAATAACAAAATGGTGTTAAATATTGGTAAACAGAAAGGTTTTTAGCCTTGGTTTAAAAGAACTCAGATTTGGGGCAGACCTCAGATGTTATGGAAGTGTATTCCAGATTTGCGGAGCATAAAAAATGTGCATTTAGTCCTGGAAACTTGGAATGATGAGTAGGCGTGCCCCCTATGATCTGAGTCTTCTGGAACAACAGGGATATTATATTCTTTTAGCTTTTTTCAGGACTCAGGCGGCAGCGTTCTGAATGAGTTGTCTGGTTGATTTTTTACAGAGCCCTGCAAATACACTGTTGCAGAAATCAAGCCTGCTTAAGACAAAGGCATGAATACGTTTCTCTAGGTTCCTGTTGAGACATTTTAGTTTTTCGGTGGTCATATGCTGATTTTGTAATTCTGTGGATCTGGGTTTTTTTTCTTTTTAGGTCCAGAACTACACCAAGATTTCTGACATTGTCTGTTGTTTTAAACAGTAGAGCTTCAGGTTGAGCACTGACATTTCTATTTGAAAATGTGTAACTAGTCAGAATTGCATCTGTATATGTCGTGCCATGGAGCTCACTGTAACATAGCACTACCTCTATCTGGGTGACCATTTCCGACCACAGAGTACCTAATAAATCTTTCTGACTGCCGTTGTAATTTCATCGCTGGCCATGTAATATGGTACGAGCAAATCAGACTACTGTTGATCTGTTGTTCGCTGCAAGAACCAGTCTTTATGCACTCCCGTTATGTGAGGATGTGAAGACCCAGTGGATAACATGTATTTTAGAATGAGTTGTGTCAACAACAACAACAACAACAACAACAACAACAACAACAACAACAACAACAACAACAACAACTGGTAACCCCTTTCCCACCACGGAATAATTCAGGATTGACTTCCAAACTGAGGCTCAAGATGGATCGATTTCGACTGACTCAACTTCAAACTTGGAACATGTAAGTTTTGCCATTCTAATGTTTCACTGTTAATTGATGGTATTTTCTTTCCTATCCGAGAGTGTGTTCCTTGAGTTATTGTTATACCTTTTATTGCACCAGAAAAGCTTGTTGTATATCCATGTTAGTGCTTCCTTATATGCACTCACTACGTTAAGGCTCTAACCTGTGTTCAATGTGAAAACTGCCTGTGTGTACATTCACATTGTTTAATAGATAATACAAAATAACCAGTGGTGTAAGAAGTACTGAGATTTATACTTGAGTAAAAGTATAAATACCGCATTCAAAATCTTACCTGATTAAAAGTACAAAATAATTGACATCAAAATATACGTAAGTAGCAACAATAAAAGTACTTTATATACTGCTGCTAAATATTATAAGCTATAATTATATGTCAATATTTATTTATAAGTTGAAATATATTTTTGATTAGCTAATTATCTGAACATGTTAAGTAACTGAGGTTACCTACTGTAACCCAGCTTCTATGAGTAAATGGCGCAGCCCTCTAAGGCTATCGCTATTGGGTAATCCCTCTGCGCCCCCGCGCAGCACTGAAACACTTGTAGTCCACGCCCACCCGCTAGGTGGGCCCCACCCTCGGGCCTCCTTCCGGTATAAATAGGAAGGAGGCCCGGCAATCTGCTCCCATACAAATAACTTTTCTTCAGCTATTCGTAGAGCCAGTGGGGCCCAGCGCTTAGAGGGCTGCACCATTTACTCATAGAAGCTGGGTTACAGTAGGTAACCTCAGTTCTATTTCGTATATGGCTTCGCCCTCTAAGGCTATCGCTATTGGGTTAAGGGCGAAGCATGATGTAGTCTGCGCCCCACTGGGTCCGCCCGGCACTAGAAGCACAGACACACCTGCTCAATAACACCCCCTGCCTGTTGTGCCATGCGTAATGGCACATCCCCGTCCCTGGAACATAGCAAAACATGCCTATCTTCCCGACGGGGTGAAGGCTGGGAACAATACATACCGGCCGCTGTGAGAAAGTAGAGACGAAGGTCCCACCTTGTCCTGCGATCATAGAGGGGGAACAGCAGCTCTCTGCGTGTCAGACAGGTAGGAGAGCGCACAGCTGGATCCCTGACGTCACTCACTCTGACCAGGCACTCCGTACGAAGTGTGTCAGAGTAAAGGGAACATCCCTCTCATACAAGGGGAAAAGGGCCGCTCTCCGCGTGCCGAGAGGCAGGAGAGAGGCGCACCGCTGGATCCCTGACGTCACTCACTCCGACAGGACACCCAGTACAGGGAGCGTCAGAGAGGAATGGGAGACCTCCCTCAAATAAAATTGAATAAATGAACAGGGGGAAGACCAAGATGCAGCCGTGCAAATATCTTCCACTGACATTCCTCCGTGCAACACCGTGGAGGAGGAAAGTCCTCTGGTTGAGTGTGCCTTGATACTCTCCGGGGGCTCCACCCCAGAGGAGACATATGCCTGTGACACAGCCTCACACAGCCAGTGTGACAGCCGTTGTGCAGACAGAGGTTGCCCGATCGAGCGCTCTCTATAGTGCACAAACAGGCGCTGAGAACGGCGCCAGGCCGCCGTGCGCGCCACATAGCAGGACAGCGCGCGCACAGGACAGAGGAGATGAGACGTGGCATCTTCCTCCGACCTGTAAGGAGGGGGGAATAAGCCAGCCAGGGTGATCACTCTTGACCTAAAAGAGTTGTGATGACCTTAGGCAAGAAGACGGTGTTTCTTGTATCCCATGGAACTGCTGGGGGGAGAGGCTTCTCTGTGATGTGCCGTAATGGTCGTCATGGTGACGTGCCATGCCATCGCCGCCGCTGCCTGTGAGGCAAAAGGGCTGCGAGGGAGTTTCCACACGCTGCATTTCACTCCGTCTCTCATCATGAGGCGCGTACACGCCCAGAGGATGAGAGGTGTGTGTATGCTGTCCACACGAGGCGTTATAACGGTGCTCGTGGATTTATTATGACCGTGTGTAGGAGGCGTATCTCGGACAGAGGAATGCCGCGAGGTCTGTGGTTTAATAACCGAAAAGTCATAACCACCAGGCCTCTGCAGCGAACCCTGCTGCCTACTAATCAACAGATTGGAGGCAGCTGGCCCTGATTTTCTTCCTCTTGGGGAACCCTGGAAATAGCCTCTTTCAACAGGAGTTCCCGTTTTTCCTCGGACTCCTGCCCGGCACTCGGCCCCAGGGACACGAGGCCCCGTCCGCGGGCTCGTAAGCCTGGACGGGCCAATCGTCCTCCTCGGCCACAGCAGCAAGAGCGTCCGCTCTCCGCTTCCTGTCGCCCGAGGGGAGACGAGCGCAGTGTGTGCATGCTACCTGCTGGTTTAGAGCCGCGTATGCGTGCTCTGATCCCAGGTAGGCTGTGCTTCAGTAACTGTGCTGGTTTGCTGAAGAAAAGAGGGAGCAGATTGCCAGGCCTCCTTCCTATTTATACCGGAAGGGAGCCCGAGGGTGGGGCCCACCTTGCGGGTGGGCGTGGACTACAAGTGTTTCAGTGCTGCGCAGAGGGATAACCCAATAGCGATAGCCTTAGAGGGCGAAGCCATATACGAAATAGAACTAAGGCTGACAGATAAATGTAGAGAAGTAAAAAGTACAATATATGTTTTCAAAAGGTAGAAGAAGATATAGCATACAATAAAAAAAATTATTCAGTTAAGATACAAGTGCCTCAAAATTGTACTTGAGTATGATACTACTATAGTGGTAACTAGTGGTGACTGTAGTCACAGTTTAGCAATCCCTCGGTTATAATGTTGTGACTATTGCCACTTAATATCACTGAGGGATTGTTAAACTGTGATTAATTAGTTGGACTTGAGTGCTCTTCAATGACGACGAAGTTATTGCCTCAAATACCGTTTATTTACAACCAAAATAGTATGTGTATGCAACACGGTCACAATCAGTCACTCACACCTGTACTGGTGAGGTCACTTAAATACCCTGTTGCACCATTATGCCATCCAGTGTTCGAAACAATAACAAAACATGTCATTGGCTGCAACAATGATTTTTGCCATGTATTACAGGTATCATCTCAGTGACCTGATGATCAGTCCTGAAACTGGTGTTGGATGTGTGTTCCTGGCTCTCAAGGCAGTACGAGAAACCATCAGAGGAGGACGTGTTTGCTGAGCAGGAGTGGTCTTAAGGATGCTTCAGGATGACCGTTGTGATCTGAGAGCACCATGACGATCTGACACCACTTCAGTAGAAGAAACTCTTGACGAAGGACTCAATCTGAACAGTTTACATAAAGTTAATGTTGCTACCTTATGCGTTATGTATAACAAATATTTACTTCCATTTTTGCAACTATGAATAAAAAGTGCATTATTTAAAGACAAGCCTGGGTTTTTAAATCAGTAGTAGATACAAGTAGATTAGAGAAACATTTTCTTTCACACATTTGTATGTCATTTCACTTTTGAAACAGGTCTAACAACACACTTGATATCATGCATATAAGAAACGTAGTCTATTTCACATGCGAACTCAAATAGAATCTTTGACAACAGGTGGTGAGTGATTGTAGTTCCAGTAATCCAAAATTCAATTCACAGATAGCAAATAAGCTTGACTCGGACAAGATACGTCTCAGGATGGTTTGTTTGACTCTTTACTTAAACAAAAGGTATCAAATACAAACACATATTTTCTCAGGTCAAAAACGATGTTGCTCTTTGCTTCTTTCTCCTTCTCACACAATCACCAGCAGCTGCCGTCGGCTATAACGTCTCGTAATCACAAACAGCTGCGGTCGTCTATGCCCTGGTTCAAATAAATGATATAATAGCACTAACAACAAAGGATTATAATATTCAAATATATCAAACTATACATTTTAACATATGGCTCCTACAGTGATTGTAAACTTAAGTTATGTGACAAATATACATTGACACAATATCTAACTGAGGCAGGTAAACGTGTAACCTTGTTCACAATGATGTTAATTCTGTATACTGATTTCAAATCAGATTACTGTGCCACCGGAACGTGTTAAGTTTACGCTTTAGAAGTAAACTAACCTCAGTTACAGTGGTTCCATACATATGTGTTCTTTAAATAGCACTCATTTTCCATGAAATCTAGCTAAGACTCTTTTAAGCTGAAAAGTGGGTCTTCCTCAAACCTGCTTCTTGGAAACACAGAATTTAGTCTCCGGTGAGCTTAGGTGTAGATTGCTTGTTTGAAATAAGTCAGTCTTTTTTCTTCTTTTTTTTGACTTGCATTACACTAATCTAAGGTCACACATTTATAGTATTCTTTTGAAAATGTCCACAGGCAGGCTGGATCAGGTGTCTCTCCTGAAGGCTCGATGCAGACACTTAGAGGAGCAGCTGGAAGCCACGGGTAAAGAGAATCTGGCTCCTTTAGTTCCGGACAACACACACCTCCAGAACCAGGGACTAAAGCAAGGTATATATATATATGGAATTACAATTTCTCGCCCAACCCCTCCCCTCCTTTCTTGATTAAAAAGTACAATATTTCCCTCTGATTGTTCCCTCTATGTCTATTTTGTATTAAATCATAATTGTGTTCGTATTAATGTAATATATATCATATAATATGTGCTTATTTGTCTTTTGCCTGTTATATGTAATCCTCAGGTGTTCTGCTCTCAGAGAATGGTGCCGACCCCTCAGCTCTGGACAGGCAGGAGGTCAGAGTGGCACATATTGAGTCTGCTCTCGCCAAACTAATGAAACAGGTGTGTAGCAAAACCAGTCAACAAGTTGAAGTTGACCTGGGGGTTAAAGCTGACATGTTTCATGCTTAACCTATGACTGGGACAATTATCAACCATGTCAAAAGACAAATTGCTCATGTTGTCTCTCAGTCATGAGCAACATTGGCCCAGAAAGAAAGGCAATTAAAAGTGCTTTACAAAAACATTATAAGCGTAAACATATAGCGCAACAAAAACATTGTTATTACAAAATTAAATTCAAACACATTTTAATATTTAAAAGCCAAGATGACAAAACAAGAAAAAGCTCAAATAGGATAAAAGTGGTTTAAAAACAAGAATAAAAGCGACAGTGCAGTGTAAGATATGAATGCATGAAATGTGACACACCATTTAACGCTTCATGCAATGCTCACGTTCACTTATAAAACGTCAGTTAAACGCCAGGCAAGGTACGTTTATTTATACAGCAAAGTGCTTTACAAAAAAAAAGAACACATTCTAAAATAACATTTAAAAAACATTAGAATACCAAGAGAATACAAATTAAAACGCGATAAAATAGAACAAGACATACAGAGAATACACAAATAAAAATGCAGTACAGTGCAGTGTTAGATATAAATAGTTCTTTGATTTCATGAAAAGCAGCGGCAAATGATCTCAATGGGACCAATCTCGTTAAATAAAGGTTTGAAATGAAATAAAAGTCTCTGTTGTTTGGGTTTCAGTTTTCTGGTAGTTTGTTCCAGATATATGGAGTGTAATAACAGAACGCTACCTTTCCATGTTCAGTTTTGACTCCCGGTAGACAAAGCATCCAAGAACACCTAAAAGCTGATTTTCAAACCAGTCAGTTATGTGAGAAGATATTGTGTGAGGGGGGTGCTGCAAACCAGTTCCTTCAAGTTGTATCTCTTGTGTCCTCTTCCTTCCAGACTGCGCTGGTACGACAGCTGCAGGAGGAGAACCTGTGTTTGAAGCGGCAGCAGACCCCAGGTCAGATGTCTGGCAGCCCTTTAGAAGATGTGCAGGGTGCTGAAAACAAACGTCCTGTCCTGCACAGCAGACTGAAGCAGGCTGCATCCTGTATCGCCCGGCTGAGCAGAGACAAGCAGCAGCTGATAGAGATGGGGAACCGCCTCCGGGCCCAGATCACCACTGCTGGACCACAGGGTACAATAACACACACACACACACACACACACACACACACACACACACACACACACACACACACACACACACACACACACACACACACACACACACACACACACACACACACACACACACACACACACACACACACACACACACACACACTGCATTAAAGAGCAGGCAGTGTGGAAATAATATCAGTAGGTAGGGTGTCTGTTCATAACTTACATATTGTGTTTATATGGACATAGTTACTGGGCCAAGTAGGTTTGGCTAAGCCCTATTTTCATATTTAATGTTTCGTGTTCTTCTTTAAAATATTTTTATATAACATAAAGGAGAAGAATAAGACACAGGTGGGGAGGGAAAAGATACACAGGGGCACCAGGTGAACACCATCTGGGTTGCGGTCAGATAATCCAAAAATCAGCTCCTAAATTCTAACCCTATCGTCTATTCCTTGACCTCTGAGTGAAACGTCACGGGGTTAAGTGGATAGGAGAATTCAAAAGGACTTAGGAGAAGAGACTGCGGTACTTTAGAGAATCGTGTTTATGATGCGGAATTGAAATAAAAAAGGAAAGTGAAACTTATGCTCGTCGTCCCCCTCTCCCTCCGGTCCACATTAATACAATGTCGCAAGGCATTGTGGGGCAGCATTTTCTCCTCTCCTTTCGTCAAGGGAGGTCCAGTGGTTCCTAAGCTAAAGGAGGTTATAAAGGAAGTTTGAAACCTCCTTTCCTTTCATGTAGAGAATTTGAACGGCTCTTATCATGGCTGCCACTGAGGGACTTCCGGGTCATTTCACTCTGTTAGGAAGGTTCCTAAGCTAAACGGACTATTCGACTGCAGCCCAGGTAATCCAACTGGAGGGACGAAGAGACAGGAAGTAACAACAGACATCACACGGGGAAACAAAGACAGATCTTAACGTGAAAAATTGAAACAGGGAAAATTAATACGGATCGTCACACTAAGACTCTTTCAAACTGAAAAGCGGGTTCTCTTAAGACCTGGCACTTGGACACAACAATTTGTACTGCATAATCATGGTATATACATCTTTCTTTTCAGGACAAACTAACCTGTCAGAATATTTATGCTAATCTCATAGAAATGTAGGAAAATGTTCTCCCAAATCCCATAAACCTAGGAGAAAATGGAAACAAATTATAATTAACACAAGTCAGAAACTGTCTATATATTTTCGAAAAAAGTTTTACTAGACAGCACCTAGAGTACGGCCCTACGAATATTGTGTGTCCAGCAGAATCAGTGGAGCCGGAGCGAGACTCTTTCACAGAGAACCAAGGAGAGCATCATGACCGGCTGTCTGCTCTGGAACAGCTCCAGTACCAGCTCACCACACAGGTATCTGCTCCAGCTCTACAAATCTATAATCAATGACATGTTTCCTTCCTCACAATTCCTTCAAAGGAACTTCTTTATTACGCAGTCAGGAAGTTATCTCTTACCATGTTGTCCCTCCTCAGATTCAACAAGCGATGCGGTAACTAGGAAAGAGGGTTCATTTTAGTGCTAATCGCAAGCTAGACATGAGAATATCCTTTGCCCCTGCTGTCACTTATTTAATGACATCATTTGTGTAAGGTTAGGTGACTTGGACACTCTTACTTCCCCTTTGAAGTAAAAAAATGCTTTCATCCAGTAGACATGATAACTCCTCAACATATCTTTTCACTTTTAATTTCAGAGAATATCAGATTTCCTTTTATTCGAAGAATTCATTGAAGTACATTTTTCATTCATATTTAAAATAGTAATTTTTTTATTTGAGCATTCTGGACCCCCCTAAAACCGCAACATGTCATTTATATTCCAGTTTATGTACAAGTTATACAAATGGGATACATTATGGTAATTTGTGAGCTTGAGCATTGGAGTTTATACTTAATCAGACATGATCAATCTCTAAATGTATATATATCTTCTCATTCTTGAAATAATTAGAAAATGTTATATTCACAAAGACCTATTTTTACCCTATCCATTAGCCTATTACAATAGTATTAAATAACACTTACCCCTTTTTATATGCAGAATAAATTGTGTGTGATAACATGCATCGTCTGAGGCAAACCATATGATGGGGAAGCTGGCAAGGCACTTAGAGTCACACCAGTATGTGATCAGAACTGGGTGTCATGGCCTTCTACACCCGTTCCCAAAGCCGCAGACAGCCACTGGGAACACTCTGGGAAACACCTCAGAGGAAGAATGATCTTAGTGATGTGTGCTTCTCTGTGCTACCTCAAGAGGGCTCTGTGGCTCCACTAATGTATGTGTCCCTTCAGGAGCTGCAGTATGCACTGAGACAGCAACACCTTCCACCTTCCACCAACCGAGGGCCCTCCACTGAAGGGGCTGCTAACCCTCGGTCCCAGGGTCACACACCCTCAGAAACACCTGAGGTAACAACAGAGGGAATATTGGGTTTAATTGATATGCAATACTCTCCTCAAATTGAATGGATATCATTTGGTGAAAAATGTATCCAAGGTAATTCTAAAATATTCATAATATATATATATATATATATATATATATATATATATGCAATTCAGCATTAATATATTATTACCACTATATATATTGTAATATACTTATTGTAGTGCAATGTCTTAATTTTTGCTTTAATTTATTATGTATATATAAATATATATTTTCGACATCTTGTGTTTGAATAAATAATTGTTTAATCTATTTTTATAATCATTTCTATATTTATAATTTACTGAAAAAAAAACAAAATAATATTTGTCTCTTAATTCAATAAACATGTAGCTGTCTTACCCTGCTGTTCTCCTCTTCTTTAGAGCTCAAAGACCAAAGAGAAGACAGTGATCCAGTCTCAGGGCTCCATGCAGCTCTCAGGTGTGTCCAGGTCTCTGCTGTCCTCAGAGGACTCCCTGCAGTCCTTAAAGGAGCTGTGGGAGAAACTGGACCATGGATTCAGTTTATCAATGTTATCAGAAGGTAACCCAACAGAATAACTACAGCTCCAATATACTAAACGTCTGCTGTACAGAATCCTAAAGGACCCATTCTGAAATACAAGCGTCCTCACATAAGGGTAGTCTTGTGAGAAGATTCAATATTCTAATGCTTTATTAGCATATGCATAATAGCTACAGTGTAGTCCCAGGCTCCTCCAACAGTGCAACATGCAATAGACTTAAGATATTAAAAGAAATTAAAATAAGGCAAGAAAAAAAGAGACTGGTAAAAGGGACACAATGGTGCAAGTAAAATGCAGAAATAAGTCAACTGGATACATGCAAAAAAAAGTAGAATGCATAAAAAACTGAATGTATGTATGTATAATGTATAAATAGATATGTAGACTGTGAACACGGAATTAAAAAGTGTGTCAGCATTCAGTAACCTACAAACAAGTGGACATGTGTTACAGTACATCCACAGAATATGGCTTTGTCCAAATGCCCAAGCAGTCAGTCCGGCTGCTGCAGTGGTAAGGTCAGTGAAGGCCACACAGAGGGAGGCTTGTTGCTCAATGTGTGTCTGTAGTCTCTGTCGGCTCTCCAGGGAACGGTTTCTCAACACCAGCTGCTGCCAGATCAGCCTCAGACGCAGTGATCAGCAGGGCACCATATCATAATTGTGAAACAAATCTGGCGCACGGTTTCAGCACGCTTACGATAAGTGTCCTGACTGGGTGAAAGAGTTCATCACCGATATGAACCATCTGCATGATAAAAGACCTGATAAAGGTCCTCATCTCTGAGCCAAGACATACTGTACAGTGGGGTCATCCACCGATCCCAGGGTTGTCGGTTCGATCACCACTTTCTCCTGTCCAAATGTCCAATTCTCCTTGATTGCTCTCGATGGCTTGGCTAACATTGCTATGTTATGTATGTTATGTATGCTATATCTAAATTAAGCTATCTACCAAATATGTCTTATTTGCAATCACTTAAATGAATTGTATTCATAAACAGTTTAAATACAGTAAATGTGCATTGATAAGACATAATGATAATATGTGAAAAAGGACACCAGCTTTGGAATAGGGTCCCACACACTAAACATCATTTATTTTAAACTATATATTTCTACTATTGGAGGGAGTCATTTATTATGCAGAAACACTTTACAAGCTAAAAAACACCTATCACTAACCAAATATCCTTAAACTAATCCAACCATATACTAAATGGTCCTAAAACATTAATTGAATTGGTTTTAAATAGGTTAGATATTAAAAAAAAACACAGATATATGACAAAGGGAAAATAATGGTACAAATAAAATGCATTTCATAGTAAAGTAACTTGTTTAGAAATCTCAAGACTTGTTTTGTATTCAAGCTCTCACATATGTGGTTAACAACTGCATCAAATACTCATAGGGATAGACAACCATGGGTTCATCCTTTTCACAAAGGTTCAGCAGCTAGTGAGGAACAATCTAGTGATGTTAAAGTATTCCTAACCATCCTGGATCCACACCTGTGTCCACATCTGCAGGGGAAACTGATGACCTGCTTTTCAGCCCTTGCCCTAATCTCACTCCAACTTTCATTGCAATCTGTTAAAAAGGAAAATAATGCAAGCTCTAGATGTTTGGCTCCATAATTACAGCAAATGTAACTTGTCCAGATAGACATAGCTTCCCAACATTCTACACTGGGATTTGTTAGAGTGATTGCAATTGCATCTCTCTTTTGATCTAAGGTGAGGCTGAGCTGAGCAGGAGGAAGGTGCATGAGTCTGGAGTGGCAGGAGCTGATGGTGGTGCTGGGGTCCAGATGACGGCGGAGGGTACCCGGGCTCCCGTCCATAGTCGGCTCGCTACTGAGGTCCAGCAGAAGAGGATCCCTTCTAAAACACCATCAAACAAGAGGATGTGCAAGATCAGAAACTACAATGTGAAAAGTTGACACACCCAAAAGGGACAATCTGTCAGTAAACTTCTCATGGGGAGTCCGACTGGTACTTTTATATATACTATGGCTCTTGAGGAGCTTTGTCAAGGTTAAGAAATGAAACCTGATTATGTCTTAGATTACAATTTAGGAGCTTTTTTTAAGGCTCCTTCCAGCATCAGAGCTCACATGGCTGACCAGTTAAGGGACCACAGTTCAAATGAACATAATAGGTTTTAAGTGTATGTCTATTATCCTCAACATTTTATTTTCTAAATAATGTTTTGTCAGTAGTCTCCTTTGGGCGGCTGTGGCTCGGGAAGTAGAGTGATCCCACACTGATCAGGAAAGGGTTGGAAAATACAACCTTTTTCCCAGAATGCATTATTTTATGTTGGGTCTTTAGAGTAAAATGCCCTTTTCTTACTTGATGTGATTTCTCAGAAATACAACTCCTATTTACAGTGACTCTCCTCATGCAGAAATAATAGGGGGGGTAATAGTTTTCTGCCACTCCAATGGTCGATGGGTCCATCCCTGAATGGAAGACAACATCACAAAGTGTTCTTGGGCAGGATTCTAAACCCAAAATTGCCTCTGTAGGCATGGCAAGCAGTGTGTTTTATATCTGTAAAAGTATTTTTAAATCACTTTGAATAAAGCGTGAAATAATATTGGCTTTGAAATACATTACTATGAAGCAACTATTTCTACAAAACTCAAATTGTGCATTTATTTGGTTGCTTGCCTATAAAAATGATCAGAATCAGGTTTATTGCCAACCTACACACACAATGATTTTTTTGTTGGAAGAATATAATTTTAAAATCAAATATATAACTATTATAAGTGAAAGTATAATAGTATAATTACTATTAATGTTATAAGTATTTTAAAAACTGCTATTGTATTATTTAAAAAACAAAGGAAATGTTTAAAATAAATATAAATACCAAAAAGTACAATTAGAATATGATACTCTGAAAAATATATAGCATTACATCAGAATTGAATGTGGAAGAAGGGTGGATGGATCACCCCTGCTTCTTATTTTTAGCCAAAGAACACATCTGTATGTTCCACTATTGATCCCTGGCTCTTCGTTGTAAAGCTTATCTCTTCCAGTGCCACCAAGGTGGGTCAGTAGGAGAAACACTTTCTCAGGACATCATGCTTTTTTAAATGATGAACTGCAGTTACCCCAAGAAGTCAGACGAGCGTTTCTGGCTACGTAATCACTCAGGCCCCGCCTTTTAATCACCCTATCTCGGAAAAGCCCTCCCTCCTGTGTTGTGATTGGATGAAACCTCACAATCGTTCTCAGTGATTTGTTACTTACCTGTCAATCCAGGAAACTTTGATATGTGCACTTCTGACGACGCAGGTCTGTACATTCAAGTTCAATGTAGTATTATGAAATGTTAAATTAAATATGAACTTGATAAAGGTTAACAACCTTTAGTTCTGATTAAAACGTTTGCAGTTTTTTTCTCTGAATCCTGCACAGTATTTCGAAAGTCTCGCGCAGGACATACATGTTTCACAGTTCCACGTGACACACTGTCTTCTTTTAATCTGCAATGAATGTCCCTTTACGTTTTGATCTTTGCACGGGCTTAAAAATGTTAATACAACTAGGCTACGTCAGTTAATACAATGTAAATACAGTGTGGTATGTTGGTTAACAGCATTTGTTGCACCCAACCCAACATTCCCCCATCATCCATGCAAGGTTGCTGCAACTGGCCGATAATAATACATATAGCTCGCCAATACAATACAAAATAATGCATCAGATTCTAGTGTAACCGTAAGAATATTTGATACGTTATTGGATTATTAAGGCACATTTCCTGTCATGTTGTAGTCATAGGTTGTAGTGTGATGTAGCGGGGCGGAGCGAGGATGATGCCGGCTAGAGAATGAACTTTAATAACCCCGACTCCTTTTTGGTGCTCTCTGTGACTACTGGGGCGTTCAGCGAGATGCTCCGCTACTGACTGGATCCGCGAGCCCTGCCTCTTTTTTCATTGGACTGTGCGGCCAGACCAAGTTGTCAGCCCATGTGGCGTGGCCAGGCAGAATGTAACACATTTAAATTCATCTGAGAAAAAGCGTGAGAGAAGCACAGAGGCTTACGGAAACCTTACACAGAGTGAAAGGACAGAGACATTCCCCCCTACGGTTACAGTCAGAGGAGCACCTCCTGGACACACGGGTAAGCTAACGTTGCTAACCGCTATTAGCTGTACGTGTTCGGATGCTATTGCGTGACTTTATTTCTTGTTTCGACACGGAACAATAGTGTCTTACACCAAACAAAGGCTGCCGGTTTACTTTGCTTTTTGAAACGCCGGTTTTTTACAGGGCTATATCAAAAAGCAAATAATCGTGACTCGACACTTTAGGAACTAGTCTTTCATCTTTATGTCGGTGCATCATTCAACCCCACATTATCCTACAACTATTTGAATGCTGCTTATTCTTAATAGCATGCATTTGTTATGAGATAGAAACAATTTCTTTAAACACAAAAAAAAGAGATGCATTCAGAGTTGGTCATCAGGGCATTTCTATAGTTTTTAATTGTATCGTTATTTATTGTAATACTGATGATGTTGCTGCACTGGTGCTCTCCTTCCCTCCGTAGAGCTTTGCCCTGCGTGAAGACTTGCAGGTCACTGAGGCCAGCAGCCATCCTGTACCTTAGCTGTACTAGCTCAAGTGCCTGTGTGATTTATTTGTAAAACCCAAATTGTAAATTGGCAGCTAATTTCTTTGGCTTTTTGTTGTGTTACTGTAGAGCATTGTTGGTGGATGAACAAAAAAAGACCCTTTTATTGAAAAGGGCGTATCATTTGGTATGGAGAGTATACTACATGGCCAATTGCTGCATTTCACTAGTTATAATATTGTTTGAAAAGGATGTTAATAGGTGTCATACCCACATTTTAAGATGGTGCTCATCCTAACAAAGCACACATAATAACGGGGAAGACTAAATATTGCCTTGCAACTCAGTGTGTCTGTGTATTTAAGCAGTGATAACAAGTTGATCTTATATTTGAAAGCAATACAGAATGCTTGAGAGCCTTACTGCATTACATTATTTTCACTTTAAATTATCACCTGGTGCCTGAATATTGTGTTTTCCTTTAAACAAATTAAAACATTTACACGATAAATGTGTCTCCACATATTCACCAGAATGCATGAATTGAAGCTACAAATGAATGATGACAAAAGGTAAATAGGTCCAGTGTAGTTTGCTAACTTTTACATGTGGTTGAGGAATTTGCTGTGTCAGTGGTGGTTGGGGGCTGGCAATGAATAGAAGTGGATGGAAAGTCCACCATCTTTGAGCATTTGATACACAAATATCTGACTTTGCATTTGGAACTGCATTAAGATCTCTGTGGCATGGATTTAACAATTTGCTGGAAACATTTGTCAAGAGACTTTGGTCGATATTGACATTATAGCATCATGTGGTTGCTGTAGATTTGTTGGCTGAACATCTGGGATGCAACATCATTGTTCCGCCACATGCAAAAAGTCACCAACTAGATTGAAATAAGTTAAATGGGTAGTCAATTTGAGTAGTGGGAAGTACTTGTCATGTCCAAAGTCAGCGATGATTAAATCTCAATTACATGGCAAGTTATTCTGCTGGAAGTATCCTTAGAGTGGTGCAGTGATGACATTTTTTTGTAGGCAAACCCTGACGTCAGCATCTGAAGGGCTCCCTTCATAAAAAGCAATGGGATATATTCATTGGTTTTTGGAATAATGCAGAAAATACGCTCTGTGGCAAACACATATTTATGATACTTACACGTTTTGTTCAGCAGGATCATCTCCATTTATAAACACCACCTATGATTGGTAAAGCCTAAGTGCATTTTTCAGAACTTAAAGGTGGGGTATGTAATTTATTTCAGAAACACTTTTTGTATATTCCATGGAATGCTCTTAACATCCCGATAGCAATGAATACATTAAATGCTTTTAAAAAAAATTCATCTGTGGAAGCCATGGCGCTGTAAAAAGCACGACCAATCATCTGAGCCGGCCCGGCTAAAATAACTGGATGGCCTACCTGCCTGTCAGCCTTCCATCTGTGCACAAATGTATCTCGTGCCCTCATTGGTCGTGTGTGTTGGAGGAGGGGCTCTGTGAGGAAGTGGCAGATTTTTTCCGGTTGTGTATTTTCAAATTCTAGCGCACTCGATCTGGTTTCTCCAAAATGACCTACCCCACCTTTAATAGCTAATGATAGGCTATAAACAAACTACATCAGTCGCTTAGCTGTGCATCAACACCGCTAAGCGAAATAGTTAATGTTCGTCTTGATAAAGTTTAGTAGTCTTATTTTATCACTTCTTAGCAACCACCATTTTTATGATACAGTAGAAGCTTTAGACAGTGTTCAGTATTTATTGACATATTTTCTGTCGTAGAATATAACGCTATCTCTTCAGCTTGTGTTAACCACAGACCCGATTTAAAGCATATAACCAAATATATGTTCCAAAAACCATTGTCTTCGAGCGAGGGAACCAAATGTGGTAAACTGCTGACTCATTTCCGGGTCTTAGGACTCAATCCTGTCCAACTCTATTAGAAAATGGGTACACTTATAAAGGAATGGAAATGCTCAGTAACAATTCATTTGTGCTGTCGTGTTAAAATGATGCTTTATTACTTCCAAGGGGCCTAAAGTGAGGCAAGAACAAATCCCCCACAGCACTACACCGCCAATACCGGCCTAACATGCTAATACAAGGCAGGATGCGTGCTTGCTTTCATGTTGTTAACACCAAAGTGGCGCTGCAGAAACTAAGACCCTGCCAAACTGGTCAAACCAATCTCCTTTTCACTCATTTTGGAGAACCTGTGTTACTTGCAGCCTTGGTTTCTTGTTGTTTTCTGACATGCTTGTTGTTCTGCTGCTATTGCTCAACTGGGGGCCAACATGTTGTGAGCTGCTCTCCTGCATGCCTCGGTCGTAGCGTGTGCTTATTAGAGACACTGTTGCCATACTATTAGCTCAAACCATCCTAGTCATTCTCCACTGACTTCACCATCAACCAGACTTTCTTTGCACACAGAACTGCAGCTCATTGGATGTTGTCTCCTTTGTGCACCATTCTCTGTAAACCCTAGAGAAAATCCCAGTTTTTGAACACTGAAATACTGAAACGTTGACTTTATTTAAATGTATATTGTCAAAAATATTTCACAAAACTATTAGATTTGTTGCAAGCAATAGTATTAAGTTTAAATACAAAATATTAGGCTCAACTTAATAGTATTGCTTTCAACTAACCTAATACAGTTATGTGATATTTGTTGACATAATACATTTGATTAAGGTCAAAAGTTCAGTTTTTTCAGTGAATACTTTAAACTACAATTGTGTCAAAATCACCCTTCTTCCTCTTTCTGATGCTTGGTTTCAACTTCAGCAGAATTTCCTGACCGTGTCTTCATTCCTCAGGCATTAAGTTGCCGTCACGTGATAGGCTGATTTTATCTTTCTAATACGTAGCAGTTGAACAGGTGTACCAAATGGCAGGTGAGTGTGTGTATGTTTAAACACATTCTTCTCATGTCAGGTGGAGCAATGATTAGTAGGCTTTGTTCGCATAGCTTTTCTCTCTCTATCTAGGAA